AACACTCCACACAAATACAGCCATCATTCACACGCACTCACTAACACTCCCATAAATACAGCCATCATTCACACGCACTCACTAACACTCCACACAAATACACCCATCATTCACACGCACTCACTAACACTCCCATAAATACAGCCATCATTCACACGCACTCACTAACACTCCACACAAATACACCCATCATTCACACGCACTCACTAACACTCCACACAAATACACCCATCATTCACACACACTTACTAACACTCCACACAAATACAGCGATCATTCACACGCACTCACTAACACTCCCACAAATACAGCCATCATTCACACGCACTCACTAACACTCCCACAAATACAGCCATCATTCACACACACTCACTAACATTCCCACAAATACAGCCATCATTCACACGCACTCACTAACTCTCCCACAAATACAGCCATCATTCACACTCACTAACACTCCACACAAATACAGCCATCATTCACATGCACTCACTAACACTCCACACAAATACAGCCATCATTCACACGCACTCACTAACACTCCCACAAATACAGCCATCATTCACACACACTTACTAACACTCCACACAAATACAGCCATCATTCACACGCACTCACTAACACTCCCACATTTACAGCCATCATTCACACGCACTAACACTCCACACAAATACAGCTATCATTCACACGCACTCACTAACACTCCCACAAATACACTCATCATTCACACACACTCACTAACACTTCCACAAATACACTCATCATTCACACACACTCACTAACACTTCCACAAATACACCCATCATTCACACGCACTCACTAACACTTCCACAAATACAGCCATCATTCACCCGCACTCACTAACACTCCACACAAATACAGCCATCATTCACACACACTCACTAACATTCCCACAAATACAGCCATCATTCACACGCACTCACTAACACTCCCACAAATACAGCCATCATTCACACACACTCACTAACACTCCACACAAATACAGCCATCATTCACACACACTTACTAACACTCCACACAAATACAGCCATCATTCACACGCACTCACTAACACTCCACACAAATACACCCATCATTCACACGCACTCACTAACACTCCCATAAATACAGCTATCATTCACACGCACTCACAAACACTCCACACAAATACACCCATCATTCACACTCACTAACTAACACTCCACACAAATACACCCATCATTCACACACACTCACTACCACTCCACACAAATACAGCCATCATTCACACACACTCACTAACACTCCACACAAATACAGCCATCATTCACATGCACTCACTAACACTCCACACAAATACAGCCATCATTCACAAACACTCACTAACATTCCCACAAATACAGCCATCATTCACACGCACTCACTAACACTCCCACAAATAGAGCCATCATTCACACGCACTCACTAACATTCCACACAAATACAGCCATCATTCGCACACACTCACTAACACTCCACACAAATATACTCCTACATACACATTGCCATTCAGCCGTCAAACCAGCCACATACTCCTAGCTGATCATATTCCCATATCCACCCAGTCAGATAGTCTCATCTTGGGACTCATTCATACCCACCCAGTCTGTCACATTCATACACTTCGTCACATAACGTGGCACCTACCCCCACCCACCTTGTACTTAATGCCACCCAGCCACCCCCCTAGTCACATTCCCCATACACAGTCATACCACATGTCAAGGTACAATCACTCCTGCAATGACTCCTCCATCCCAGCAGAGGTCGCCCAACTAAACCGAGTGTCTCCCACAAGCCGTGAGTGCCCTCCTTACAGTAATACTCAGCAGATCATTGTGTAAGGCAGCCCAGAGGAAAAAAAAACTTTGTATAGAATAAACACAACCCGAGTGTGTGCGGCCGGAGTGTGAGCAGTGCTGGGGGACAGGCATGGCACCGGGGACCCTCTAAATACCTCACCACAGGGACCAGGAACAGCTCCTGGGGGAGAAGGCAGGTCCCTGGCACCATCACCACTGCACACAGGTACCATCACCACTGCACACAGGCACCATCACCACTGCACACAGGTACCATCACCACTGCACACAGGCACCATCACCACTGCACACAGGTACCATCACCACTACACACAGGCACCATCACCACTACACACAGGTACCATCACCACTGCACACAGGCACCATCACCACTGCACACAGGCACCATCACCACTACACACAGGTACCATCACCACTGCACACAGGCACCATCACCACTGCACACATGTACCATCACCACTGCACACAGGCACCATCACCACTGCACACAGGCACCATCACCACTGCACACAGGCACCATCACCACCGCACACAGGTACCATCACCACTACACACAGGCACCATCACCACTACACACAGGTACCATCACCACTGCACACAGGCACCATCACCACTGCACACAGGCACCATCACCACTGCACACAGGCACCATCACCACTACACACAGGTACCATCACCACTGCACACAGGCACCATCACCACTGCACACATGTACCATCACCACTGCACACAGGCACCATCACCACTGCACACAGGCACCATCACCACTGCACACAGGCACCATCACCACTGCACACAGGCACCATCACCACCGCACACAGGCACCATCACCACCGCACACAGGCACCATCACCACCGCACGCAGGCACCAATCAACCCCTGCACACAGGCACCAATCAACCCCTGAACACAGGCATCATCACCACTACACACACAGGCACCATCTGATAAGGTGAGATGGGACACGATCAAGTAGGCAAGTGGTGGGCAAAAGGAAAGGAGAAGTGCAGCCACCTATTCAGTAGCAGTGGAGAAAATCTGAAGGGTAGGAAAGGCATGATCTATGTGTGGTTGCAAAAGAGAGAGGCAGAGTGGGGAGAATGCTTTCCTTAGCTTTTCAATCTTGTTGGTAAAGTAGCATGCAAGGCTATCGGCTGTATACAGAGCCAGGGTACACTTTCGGTTGGGGAACTCTGTCTGAATGGGTGACATGCTTTAGGTGTCTCTAAAATGTTATTTCTTTATAAATCTCTTATGTATCAGACTGTGGGCCTGTACGTTGAGGTCTGGTAATGACTGTGTTCTGTTCCGTTATTGCCTGTGGGCGTTCCGTTCTGTTCCGTTATTGCCTGTGGGCGTTCCGTTCTGTTCCGTTATTGCCTGTGGGCGTTCCGTTCTGTTCCGTTATTGCCTGTCGTTCCGTTCTGTCCGTTATTGCCTGTGGCCGTTCCGTTCCGTCCGTTATTGCCTGTGGCCGTTCCGTTCCGTCCCGTTATTGCCTGTGGCCGTTCCGTTCCGTTCTGTCCCGTTATTGCCTGTGGCCGTTCCGTTCCGTTCTGTCCCGTTATTGCCTGTGGCCGTTCCGTTCCGTTCTCCGTCCCGTTATTGCCTGTGGCCGTTCCGTTCCGTTCTGTCCCGTTATTGCCTGTGGCCGTTCCGTTCCGTTCTGTCCCGTTATTGCCTGTGGCCGTTCCGTTCCGTTCTGTCCTGTTATTGCCTGTGGCCGTTCCGTTCTGTTCTGTCCTGTTATTGCCTGTGGCCGTTCCGTTCTGTTCTGTCCTGTTATTGCCTGTGGCCGTTCCGTTCTGTTCTGTCCTGTTATTGCCTGTGGCCGTTCCGTTCTGTTCTGTCCTGTTATTGCCTGTGGCCGTTCCGTTCTGTTCCGGTATGGCCTGTGGCCGTTCCGTTCTGTTCCGGTATGGCCTGTGGCCGTTCCATTATTGCCTGTGGGCGTTCCGTTCTGTTCCGTTATTGCCTGAGATATATTATAAGGCATAGGCATCTCTGGTTGACTGCAACACCTTTGTGGGAATGTCGTCCGTGATGCCACCAGTCAGGTGGATTTTTTTTTTTTTTTTTAAATTTACATTTTATTCTACAGCCCAAGAGTATGGATGACTACTCCGGGGTTTGAGGACTTTTTATTTTTTTTATGTTCATGAATTCCTTAATGCCAGAGAAAATGTCCCTTTCCCTGGAACTATTATCAGTAGCAGGGTACTGCACATCCCATTTGTACCAAGTGATGGGGCTAAGGGTGCCTGTGTGGAGAGATTGGCTAATATTCTGCATTAGGATTATCTACATTCACTAACTCACACTGAACCACAAATGAAGTGTGCTTACTCAGGGACGGAGGGAGGGACCATATAGTTAAATAATAAACGCTTATTATTCACATCACCCCCATCCAGCAATGCAGGATTTGTGAAGGAGGGAGTGGACATATGGCTGCTCTGTTTGCTTTTCTTACCAAACACCCTTTTGCATATGCACACTCCTTCTGTTGCTGCTGTTTTGACCCCCCCATTCATTATTTCTGCCCGCTGACTTTTATTATGGAGTGGGGTAGTATTTTTTTTATATATATATATATATATATGTTGCCCTTTGCTTGTGCACCCAGTAGGCAGAATTATTTGTCTTTTAGTTCATAGCTAAAAAGCAGGCAAATGAAAATCCCAAAATGTCATTTCAGAGGCTTTCTGTGTCTAAAGTGACACTTTAAATACCACAATCATTATATATTATATTATGGTAGTAATTCCGCAGCTATAATGATTTGGTTGTTTTTGTCAAAGCTGGGGGAAGGGCTTTTCCTCATTACCCAGAGCTCACCCCCTCTGCCGGTTCATGCCTTTCAAAGGATGGTGGTATAGCGGTACAGGCATGTGAGTGAGGAGAGGTTTCATTGCCCAATACATGAAGAAGGACTTTCTATATGAAACAAAGCATCCCTGGCCACAAACCTGTAATCCCTGTGTGACTCATGCCATGGTATTTCTCATGATGATTATTATTATTATTATAATTATTATTATTATTATTTATATAGCGCCAACAAATTCCGTAGCGCTGTACAATGGGTGGACTAACAGACACATAATTGAGATCAGACCACTGATGTACAGGAACATAGGGGGTTGAGGGCCCTGCTCGATGAGCTTACATGCTAGAGATAAAGCAATCTATGGAAATATAACCTCTCTGATGGTTATTCTGATATTCTCTTGCAAAGTACTGCACGGCCCCAGTAGGCAGGCACCAGCAAAGTCAAGATACCTCAGGTTTTAGGCAGTCCATGTATTAGAGACAGACTTCACATTAGAGCACGTTACCGTTTGTTAACCCCTTAAGGACACCGCTTCAGAAGTCTTTTTTGCACTGAAAGGGACACTATAGTAAATACGATACTTAGTAGTTGTTCTGGTGTCTACAGCCTGTCCCTGCAGGCTTTTTACTGTAAACACTGCTTTTTCAGAGAAAAGGCATTGTTTACATTACTACTTAGTAACCCATACAATCACTCTAACAGCCACTAGAGGTGCTTCCTGGGTCAGTGCTTCCGTGTGAAACACCTACATTCATTGTCTACACGCTCTGTATGGAGAAGCTGAACACTACCCATAGAGATGCATTGATTTAATGCTTGTCTATGAGGAGATGCTGATTGGCACAGCACAGCGGTTTGCTGTGCATGCGCAGTATCCTGGATAGGCAGAGATAGTCAAATTTGATCTCACTCATGGTGGCGGAATGGGATGGCTAAAATCACATAATGCAAGCAATAAGGGCAGGGCACCTAAACTGTGTCTTTAAAAATATACTGTCAGGAATACTTGTTTGTGTTCCTTTAAGGACATAAGCAATTTTGAAATTTATTTGCTTTTTGTGTTCAACCGCAGTGTTCATCTCTCATTTATTGTGCTCACACATATTATAAACCGTTTTTTTTTAAAGGACAAAATGGGTTTTAATTTGATGTGCAGCTGTGTGACGGGTACTAGCTTATCGACTTCTTTGTGTTGTGTCTTAATTCAGGCCATATGCTAAGTCAGGTAGGCTAAGGTGAGATATAAAAAAAACCAAGGGGAAACATGCTAGGCTACAGGTAACACCAAATTAGCTTAATGGTCACTGGGTATTTAACACTCCTGAAAAGCTCGGAGAACAGAAATGCCTATATGGACAGGAAAATAACAATGAAGTCTCTTTTCATCCCATGCCAAAGGGAGGCCTCCAGAGACTGGTGTGTTCCATGCTGGGCGTCCATTTTAGGCAGCTCCACCAGCCCCAGGCCGTCACAAGAGCCCATATGCAAGTCCCACTGCTCCAGCCGCTCTCTGCGCTGCAAGCTAAATCTCAGGAGGTCGGGATGTGAAGTCGTAACTACCGAGTAGGTGAGGTAGGCATTCGGGTATTTCCCCTCCGGGCCTTCAGCCTAGGAAGACAGCAGCGGTTTAAGACTTTACAGGAGGTGGTTTCTTCCTCGAAGGCATCTCACACTCGCCAGCACTCTCCTTCTTTTGCCTGCCACGAGGTGTTGTTGTTCGGGGGGTAAGCATCTCTGCTCCGCCGGTCTCTGCTTCTCCTTCAGGGTTCGGTCTCCTCTGCTCTGTAACTTCTGCCAGAATCTGTGGAACAGGTCGTCCAGTCGCGGTTCGAGCTACCTTTGCAGACTGCTTGTAGCTGCAGCAGGGTCAGCAGCCGCCATCTTGGATCAGTTGGCACGACCGTGTACTTGTTACAGGGGCTGACAGGTTGTATGAGTCCCCTTGTAGCTGTTACTTGCCAGGATGACCCCCACTTGGGGGGAGGGTGGAGGGCTGTCCTACTGCTTCAGCGTTTGCCAGCAGCTCAGGCAGCAGGGAGATCGGCCGTTTCTCCTGCGCTCGCATCCAACTGTAGGCCGTGATTTCACCATCAGGGTTGGCTTGTCCGTCCGGACTTGCGAACCTCCCAAATTGATTACCAGGGTGACACCGGTTCTACCCCATGATATATCAGCTTATTAGCCATAGAAAAATGTCAGCTTAACTGCGTTTTTAGGGAGTTCTCGTACGGAGTGCTCGTTTCATGCAACCAAGCAGCTGGGTGGTCTGGCCCCACCCCCGGATTTCAATTTATTTTTGGTAGCTACAGGATCCAAAATAGGAGTAAAATAAAATTTCAATGTGGAGCAATTTTTTTAGAATTTGGTATGTTTGTTTTTGTAAGCCTAATAACCATCACCGAGAAAACAAAATTGCCACACATATAAAGACATCAGTCTATTTACCTAAGGGTATATTTACCCTTTTTACGTAGACATTTTAACAGGTAATCTTTGCTAAATATTGTAGTAAAATGTGTTTCACATGAACATACACACACATAACAAGTTGTTGTTTTTTTTATTTTTTTATTATTTAATAAGTCTGTGTTTCAGAAACCTGATGTGTACTGATCCTGTACCATATTGTAATATTTGTTTTTGTAAAAATTGGCAAATTGAAGATGGATCTTTGGGGCATTTTATTGGTTCTTGTATTTAAAGAATGCCATAAATGCACACCACGGGGATTCTCACACTCATAATATATTTTGAGGTGCACTTTTTTTATTTATTTTTTTCAAAGTTTGTGGTATTTTCAATTTTTCCATACTTTTAGTATTTTTATTTATTTATTTATTGCTGATTTTATTTTATTTTTTCTAAATCTTTTGTCCCACTGTCATTATCTTAAAAAATTATCTTAACTGTACTCCCCAACATATCCGGAGTACAACAATACCCCATATGTATATTTTTGGAAAGCAACAATATTAATCTTAGTCTTAATATCAATCTAAACTAAATCCTAATCCCAAATCTAATACTAAACCTCATTAAGACCCATATCCTAATCCTATACCTCACCCTAATTATAACTTTAATCTTCATTCTAACCCTCACAATTGTTTTAAGATAACCTCTGCTGATGTAATTAAAACATTATATGGAATCCTATTTAAATATATTATTTCTTGTTATCTACAGGATACTAATAAACTAATGTCATATTTTTTTATTTTTTTTCCCTTCAGGTTCTACAAAGCAAGCTTCTGCTTTAAGCACCCATCTTGTCACAAGGATGTCAATGTAACAAAGTCAATACAGAAGTAGTGCTTGCTTGGTGAATCTGGAACATGCCTGTCTGCTTTCAAAACATTAAATAATAAAGGTTTTCACCAGGAAGTGGAGTAAGCGAAGAGGAAAAGCATTTTTTAAAACACATTTTTAAGTAGTTGTAATTTTTTTTTTTTTAAAAGCTCTGTTTATAAGAGTGGAAAAAAAAAAAAGCTGGGAAAACCTTCTGAATTGTCATATGTTTTATTAGATTTTTTTTTTCTTTTAGTAAACCATGAAAACATGTAAGAAGGCTTTATAGACAATAAGCCATTGTTTCTAGAAATTATATTTATAAAAATAAAAAAAAATTTGTGCAGGATTGTTTACAACAGACTGACAGATGCATTGATTTATTGATAAATGTTATTTAAAAATCTATATATTTGAAAACAAACTTTTTGAGTAATTGAAATTTTTTTTATTTTTTTTTGGCCTGTTTGGATAGAAAAAAATATTTAGAATTTATAGAATTTAAGACGAACCAAAGTGCTGTTACAAAGAAAAATCAAAAAATTCCTAGGGTTTTTTTTTTTTTTTGTATACAATGGAGCACAGTGCTGACGACTTGAAAATGGATCTGGGCAATGAAACCAATATTGAAAATACAGTGGTGGACAACTGTGAGGTACCAGAGCCTGAAGATAAAACTGGTGACATGGGTATCGTTCAAGATGATGGAACAAAAAAATTAGCTGAAGATTTGAAGTGTGAGGAAAGGGATTCAGATTTGGCTTCTGAGACAGGGAATAATCAAGAGATGATGGATCAGTGTGAGTCTTCTGCTATGAATAGTGAGCAAAGTACCACTGAGTCGAACCAAGAAACAGAGGACGGTAACTCTCAATGTACACCAGGGTCCAGCAGAGTTACTGAGCAGTCTATGTCTGCGGAATCTGATCAGCCGGAGAGCTATCAACCTTCTGAAGGCAAGCCTGATGGCGAAAACCCATCCTTACAAAACTTGCTGTGCTCTAGCACTAGTGTAAGCCCTTCGGAAGAGGTGTCCGATGCTACTGCTTCCAAGTCCCCCGGAAATGAGGCTGGTGTAGACTACTATTTTGTAAAATGGATAAATTGGAAAGGGGAAAGGACCCCTGTCATAACCCAGAGCGAGAATGGACCATGTCCTCTGCTGGCCATCATGAACATCCTCTTCCTGCGGTGGAAGGTAAGGCTTTCTAGCCACGATCAGATTTTCACTTGGTATTCCTAACCTTAGTAGTTTTTTTTAGGGGGCAAAGAATGGGTAGAGGATTGACTGAAAGCATGAACTTCATATCTTCAGCATATTTATAGTTTTTGTTATCCAAATTTATAATGTATTACTTTATTTAAATGAAAAGAAACATGCAGTTGCCTATTTTTCAGATTTTTGCTGTAATTATCTAAACCATATATTCACCAATGTTCAGCTTGGCTGAAGTATTGGTTGATGTTGGCACCGATACTAGCCAGGATTAATGAAATATTGCATTGGACGACATTATTTAATAAAGGTTAAGAAAGGTGGGAGAAGTGTAGTGAATAGTGATTATCCATTTAATCACTGACAAAATACCAATGTCCTTCAGTCCTTCATACACCAGAACACAGCAACTTTCCAGAGATCTAACAGAACTGTGGAATGGTTCTAAATGCTCACAAACTGTGGATCTGACATGTCGTAGAATCTTGAATAGTCCGTTGTAAAATCTAGGAGATCTGATGAGAGTTCACATCAGGTTTTACCTACAGGTAGTTCACAGAGAACAAATAATGTAGGTGTTTGTATCAACTGGATTAAAAACGATAAATCCACTGATGATAATATACTTTCTCACCATGTCGTTTGTAGTGCATTTATGGCTCTGTACCTAGTTCAGTAGTTATGCGTGTTACTAATCCCACACTAAGTGCTTTGTTTTTCTCATACATTTTTAATGTACAGTTGATTGAGCACCGTTGGCTCTTACTATGTGTGTCTGACCATTGGTATAAATATAGCAATGTATTGTCCTTACAGGTGAAGTTACCCCCCCAGAAGGAAGTGATCACATCTGAGGAGCTTATGGCGCACCTGGGTAAGAGTTATTCACGTTGCTGTGATGATCGGCATTTGTGTAAAGGTGAACATTTTCCAGGAATTTCGTAGCTGTAGGAGAAAAAAAAAAGTAACATTTATGGATTCCTATTATTCATAGTGGCAATTAGAGACCTGTACTTTGCAAAGCTTTTTATGTCTTACTACAGTTGCTCCCACTGTAAATACTGAATATGTTTTGGGGGGAGGAAGCTGTAATCCAGTTGTTGGAACCAAATGTGTCACCTCCTCAAGCAAGTGGAGATTGAGAGCAAGGTACAGGCAAACAGGGCAGTGATCATTCTGTGTAAATCGGCAATGAAAGACAAGCATGCAGACATTCATAGAAACCATTGGAAGTTTTTTTTTTTTTTTTTTTATTGCCTTTTCTATGCTTCAAATCCGTACCCCTGAGGTGTGAAAAATGTAAAAGAAGAATGCCGCACCTCTTTAATGTGCAACCGGGCTCTTCCATTTTAGCTCCCTGCCAAACAATGCTGTGAGCTCTGTCCTTTACAGAGAAGAGGAGAAAATAAACAATGCTTCTATTTCTCCTCCTCATTGCCAGGGTTTCAAACTTTATTATTTTGTCATTAGCCAAGTCTACACAACACAAGCTCCAGGTGAGTTTTTTAATGTTCTATTGGATTGTGTAAATTCCAAAAAAGTGACTGTTACACTTAAAAGTACACTAAAATAACCCAGACCTCTTCATCTCTGTGAAGTAGTGTTGGTGAAATGGTCCAGTCATTTTAACCCTGCAATGTAAAACAGTGCATTTAAAAAAAAAAAAAAATGAATAATAATAATTCTTCAGGGTTAAATCCACATGCAGTGGCTGTCATATTGGCGGCCTCTAGAGCCCTGAACCCTAGTGGCGGCCTCTAGAGCCCTGAACCCTAGTGGCGGCCTCTAGAGCCCTGAACCCTAGTGGCGGCCTCTAGAGCCCTGAACCCTAGTGGCGGCCTCTAGAGCGCTGAACCCTAGTGGCGGCCTCTACAGGCGCTTTCATGGTCGCATGACGCGGAAACTCATTCAGTGGGAAGCTTTGAAACCTGTGCAATGAATGCTCCTCTGAGGACTGGATCATCACAGAGCATGGTTATGCCTCTTCTATGACATTGACAGAAGCAGAGAGATGAGCAGCCCTGACGAAGTCCCAGAGCTGGAAAAAATTAATTTTATGGCAAATGGGAAGCAGGGCACCAAACTAGATAAGTACAGGGACACTAGCATTGGGAGTACAAGTGTGCATTCCTAACGTAGTGTTTAACAGATTCTGAATATGAGGAGCCATAATCGATAACTCTGTTTATAAAGAGGTTCTGCAGGAGCCAACACAGACCTATTGTTTAATTCTGCCAAACAAGTTAGTGCAGGGGATCTGTACCACATGCAGAGATTCCGGTTTTTCTAAGAGCACACATTTATCAAGATAACACGAACATGGCACTGTATGGGGAGAGAGAGCCTGCTCCAGTGAGGAATTTAAGCACTGTTGGAAAACGTTTTGCTAGGTGCTAGAGGCCGCCACGCTGGCTGGGTTTGGCATTTCAGAATGATTACTGTGTCAAACCACCTCTTAAGCAAACACACCTTGCAAATCCAAAGCAGAGTAAAAAGCGAGTTTGTTGTTTGCTGTTGGATTGAGTTTAAAAGTCTGTTTTATTGTGATGTGAGGACATAGTACATGTAAATATCTACTATTCATGAGTGTGGGATAATTATCTTGGCTGTTTGTATTTGCAAAATATTATTACACCTTAACCCCTTAAGGTCACAGCTTTAAAAGCTTGTCTTGCCCTTAAGGACACAATCCATTTTTGCATGTTTTGCTGTTTGTGTTCAAACGCAATTTGCATCTCTGTCATTTATTGCACCAACACATATATTATATTATATTATATACCGTTTTTTAGATGTCAAAAGGGGCTTTAACCCCTTGAGGACACATGACATGTGACATGTCATGATTCCATTTTATTCCAGAAGTTTGGTCCTTAAGGGGTTAATTTCTCACATATCCATAGATATTATCCAAAGATAAGCTGGTGTGTGCTATTTCTGCACATTGTGTTCAGCTACATCTGCTGAGTATAACGATACCCCCATTGTATGCCTTTGGCACTATTCTGTAAAGTTACTATGCCAAATAAGAGACAAGGCTATTTCAGTTTCTATAGTTAGAATTTTCATAGATGGATTTGATGGCACTATGTCTCATTTTGGGGTGTTATAGCAGTTTGACTGTTCAAATAACCCCACAAAGGCCTTTCATTTGATAAAGCAGACACTCAGGGGTATCTTATATGGCGTATATTGTGCCTTAAAGGACCACTCTAGGCACCCAGACCACTTCAGCTTAATGAAGTGGTCTGGGTGCCAGGTCCCTCTAGGATTAACCCATTTTTCTATAAGCATAGCAGTTTCAGAGAAACTGCTATGTTTATAAATGGGTTAATCCAGCCTCCAAAGCCTCTAGTGGCTGTCTCATTGACAGCCGCTAGAGACGCTTACGTTATTCTCACTGTGAAAATCACAGTGAGAACACGAAAGCCGGCTGAATGCGCACGCAGCCGAATGGGTGGAGAGGAGGAGGATCGGAGGAGGAGAGCACATTCAGGGCACTATAGTGCCAGGAAAACGAGTATGTTTTCCTGGCACTATAGTGGTCCTTTAACTTGTCACCATTTTTATTTTTTTTTACCATGTCAATGTTTGTGGTGAGGGGGAAAAATTGCATTTTTACATACACCTTGCATTTTTGCTGAGTATTTCTTACACTTGATATGTGCCACTGTCATAAAATCCCCCAAATTATGCTCCGTTACATCTTCTGAGTAAAACAATATGCCCAGTGTATGACCTAGACACTATTTTGTGAAGTTACAGTGCTGTAAAAGAGACGTGACAAGTTCAGGTTTTTAAGTGTATGTTTTGATGCTGCCCTATCCCATTTTGAAGCACTTTAGCATGCTACATATTCAAACTACACCATAGAGGCATACCCTTTCTTAAATAAGACATTCCAGGGTATTTCAAAAGGCATATTTTTCCACTAGCTTGTACCAAGTGTAGTGGTAATAAGCATTTTTTTCTGCCTTTTTGACACTCAAAGTGAGTTTGCACAGTATATTTTGCAAACCTTATGTGTGCTATGGCTGTATAATAATTCATATGTTGCTCAGCTATGTTGTCTGAATACAACAATACCCCAGTATGTACCTTTTCCAGGTATATGTGGATGGTGAAGGGGCACATTTGAGACGCAGCCATTCTTTTTTTTTTTTTTTCTCTAACTTTGTAGTTTTCCGCTGTGTTCCATTTGAGTAGTTTAGCTGGTTTGTTATTCAAACTACTCCACAAAACCATACATTTTTTAAATTTTTTTTAAGAATACAACCTGGGGTATTTCAAAAGACATATTTTGAACCTTAGCGTGGGATATTTTTCCGCTAGTTTGTTCCAGGTGTAGTGGTAATGAGTGTTTTTTTAAATGTATTTTTTTTTTTTTTTACTCTTTTAAACTTTTTACTTTTTAAAACTTGTTGTTAAACTTTTGTTTTACTTATTAAATTTTTTTATTTTTAAACTTCTCAATTTTTATAAACTTTAAAAAAACATTTTTTTACCATTAACCCCTGTCTAGAAGTAAGCAGCACTAACCTTACATTTCCCATAATTCCCACCACCCCAGCTATCAAAATATATAATTTTAAAATATATTTAAATTGATTAATGAAATAGATTGAACTTCCTGAGGGTTAAAAAAATAAGTTAACCCTCAGGGGTTAAAAAAATAAAATCAAATGACAGTAAAATGTAGTCCCAGCCAATTGATCACTGTAGTCTGTAATCAATTGGCAGGGAAGGGGTTAATTTTATTAAAGGGGGGGTGGAATTTAACTTTATTTTTATTTTTTACAGGGAGAAGCAGGACATCACTGATCCGTCTCCCTGCACTTCACGCTGACCGTGGAAGAGCAGGGAGTCGGATTAGAAGTCTCTTCAGCACATGTGCTCGCTCTGACAGGCTGTCAGAGTGATCACAGCTGCAGGGACATTTCAATCGCCGGCGATCGATCACCAAGGCTGACCGGAGGAGGGTTAACGCCGCTACTGCGCCGATTTGGGGTTAACTTTTTAGTAAATTATGATAATTTTCCGTCAAGGGTCCTTAAAGGGCAAGCTTGATGGAAAATTTCCGTTGAGCGTCGTGAAGGCGTTAAATCATTTGTTAGACAAGATACAGACTCCTGTAATGGATTTACTGTCGATTTCTAGACCACTATTTCAAGTTAGCTGATGATGTGAAGCAAAGTATTCAGAACAAGATGAAAGCACTTCATTTAAAGGGCCACTCAGGGCACCATCACAACGTCATAGAAATTAAGTTGTTACAGTGCGAAGACTTCTCAGGTGTTGTCTTTCCTGAAAGGGTTAAACTGTTAATGAATGGTCTAACCCCAAAGTCTGCAAGCCAGTTCTGTCGCTGTGTCCTGAGGATTCATTCTGGAAGCCTTGAACCAGGCGCTGGTGATCGGCTTAGAAATAAGTAATCTCAGCCAATTCTGTAAAAGACACCCTGCCATTTATACGTTTTTTTTAAATTAATTAATTAATTTATTTTCCACTCTTTTTACAATGGGGACCTACAGATCTGTTGAGTGCCCGGTCTGAGCATTCCTGATTGAAACCTCAGACATTGAACGGAGGTGCAGGGCAATCAGGCATGTGCTTGCAGATATTGGGGTTAAACCATTCGTTACGCTTTAACCCCTTCAAGTAAGACTGCACCTAGGACATGCATGATAAAAACTCAACTGTGATGAAGTTGTAAATAGTGCCTGTAGTGATCCCTTGAGAAAATAGCTTTTAACACTCCTCTATTGCAGCACAATGGGTTGTATTGCAGTGTATCTATGTAATACACATACACACCGCTTTTTACTGTGAATTTCATTGCTGTGAATGATACATTAGTCCACACAGTCAGTCTGATATCTATCCAGTAGCTGATGTAGAGCAGAGTTCACTTAGTTTATTTTTTAAGCAGAGCATTTTTTTTGCACAAAGTCCATACCTTTTAGTATAAGAAATCTGTGAAGATGATTGCCTATGACTTTTGCATGAAACATGGATTTTGCTAAAAAAAAAGTGGAATTTTTCTCAACACTGTTGCTATGCATTGTGCGTAGTGTGTTCTAATGAATTGTTAGCTGTGGCACACTTACTGCATACAGTGGGTTCCCTGGCAAACACAAGAGACCAGCGCTAAGCATATAATGAATGGCAGTGAAGATGAACATGTCGCTATGAATTGTAAGCCATGGCACATCTTATGCGCAAAGTGCACTTTGTGGCTAATGATCCACTATTTTTATCTGTTTTCCGCTACTTGGAAAGGGGCATCTGTGCTTCGTGTGGATCTTGTGCATGGGAAGTACAAGAAAAGTGTGAGAGACATTGTAGTTGCATTTTTGATCGACATTGTATGGAAACGCCAAAAAGCATGTACTCCACTTTTTGTGCACTTCCTGCTACAGACTCTTTAACAGAGTTACTCACTTTAATGAGAACTCAATGTGTATTTCAAATTTAAAGCCAGCTTTACTTCCAGTTTGGTTACTTTGTCCTTACATTTGAAATTCACTTGGAATTGTCATTTTAGTGCGTAACCCTGTGTGTATCAGGCCTAACGCGTTTTATTGCAGTCGAGAACTTTGAGGCTCTCCTGCACACATTGCTCAATACTGAGAGTTTAATTGCCGTGGAGCTCTGTAATTCTTACATACCCACTGCATTGTGTTTTATAATTGCGGTGCTCATATCTAGCAAGCCGAGATCTTTAAAAAGAGGGACTCCACAATGTGAAAGGGGTCTCGAAGAGGAAAAGTCCAAGAGGTATTTTTTTCTCTCTCTTGGTAGTTCTAGTGTGGTATTATTAGGTTTTGCACACGTTCATGCACTACAGATACAGGTTCAGTGCTCGGACCTTTACATCTCGAAAGGAACCTGTCACTACCAGTTTTGAATTCCTACTGAGATCCGGTCCAGTACAAGAATTCCCTTTAACGTTCATGGAATCTCCTTCCTGCTGAGTTTTTAGCAAAGTTTGAGATGAGGATCTTCTTTATTTACATTGTGCTAGTACGGATCATTCACTTTTCCAAGAAATGTGGACAAGTTGTACTAGAAAGCTAGCGTTTATTTACAAGGCGGAACGGTGCAGGTCTTGTATGAAACCAATGCTCTGTATAAACTGTCTAGCAGGTTAGGAGCATTCAACCCACATTACATGATTTAAGCTTTATTTTGAGTAAACGTGTTGCAATATGTGTTAGAGGTGAAGCAAAGTATTAGGAAATCCATGCAGTTTAGTGTGATCTCATTTCCGTTTATGAAGTCTGAGCTAATCATTGTATTAGAATAGCCCAGCCTCCTGTGTATGTTAAAGCATCTGGCTTCAATACTTCAGTACAACTACTTAACAAATGCCTGAATTGAATTCTATCCCTACAATGTAAAAGGTGCCTGACTTGATCTCCCCTGAATAAGACCGGCTGTGTTATTGTAAAAGCAAAAAAGCAGGACACGTGATACTATGAATGACAGGCCTGACTGAAAGGGGTTTATTGGGTTACCTTAATTTCTGATCTCCATCAGTGCACATGGTAAAGGTCTAGAGCAGGCACAGGCAACCTTTGGCCCTCCAGATGTTTTGGACTACACCTCCCATGATGCTTTACCAGCATTATGGGTGTAAGAGCATTATGGGGGATGTAGTCCACAACATCTGGAGTGCCCTAAGGTAGCCTATCCCTGTTCTAGAGCAAGCTTGTCAAACTCTAAGGCTAGCATGGGCCAAATAAACAAGGTTTAAGTTTATGTGGGCCGCAAAAAAAAAAAGTAAAATTTTCATAGAAACGTAGGTTTATTTTGAAAAGTACATTATTAAAAAAACAAAACAAAAAAACAGCACCCCCCTCTAGCCAAGAAGCAGACTCCACTCACATTGCCAGTATGCGACTCTGGAGTCCGGCGTCTGGTATACCCCAAATGGCGCCATGCGCATCCTGTGCCAAAGCGGATCCTCCCGCTCCTCCTTGAAACCTTGTAATGGTGGAGCACGTCGACGCCCCGTCGGAATATGACGTGACGTTGTGTGCCTCCGTGCACCTCCAGATACTCCACTATCCAGCCACGGCCATCGCAACACTGACTGACAGACACATACACACACACTGACAGACAGACACACACATACACACACACTGAGAGACAGACACACTCACATCATTCCCTGGGGTCCAGTGGGGATCTTCTATCTAGAGATCTCCTTCCTGCTCCTCACTGCTCCCTCGTGTGCAGTTTAGTGATGCCAGGTGCCGGAATATGATGTCCTATTCCAGCATCACTACAGACGGCACGCGCAAGTGAGCAGTGAGGAGCAGGAAGACTGAGCTCCCTCGCTGCCGCCAGCGTCCTGCTTCCTCTCCGGACAGGTAAGTTTTAGCAGAGTAGGCACTTGCAATGTGGAGAAAGCAGGTGCCTTCTCTGCTTTAACACCAAGCATGTACTCGCGGCTCACTGGGCCGCAAAAATATGCATTGTGGGCCGCGTGTTTGACATGCTTGGTCTAGAGGGCTTTTATGAGGATGTGTGAGGGGAGGTAATTATACATTTTCAGGGAAACTTCTCAGTGCTATTTTTCCTTTCACTTGTATTTACTTTAGGAAATGGGAAGTCTTTGTACACCTGGTGGCTATCAACGATGGGGTAGCTCCTAGACCACTGGGTTGTGTGGGTGCTTGTTTAGGGGGTCAATAGAAAGGATAGATACAGTCTTGTACAAAGTCCACTCTGATTAAACGTTTTTTCTTTTTTCACCGTACAGGCGACTGCATTCTTTCTATTCAACCACAAGAGAACTCCGAAGCTCTCCAGTTGAATTTCCAGCAGGTTTGTGGACCGTAAACAAGCCCTACCTTAAATTCTGGCCATAACATGACCTGATTCCCCACATTGTTTTATTAACACTTTACATGCAGCTCACACTCGAGTGAGGAATGTCTAACCAGCTGGAGTACAGAATGACTATTCCTCTGCTGATCTTGTTACCAGATGTGGATCTCATAACCCAGACTGTTGTGCAGTTTTATCAACATAAATTGCACAACATCTGTTTGCCTGAAATTCAAGTGATCTTGTTATTCCAAGTGTCAGATTCCTTTTTTATTGCACCCATGAGGCTGCTGCAGGCCCAGTCTTTTTGCTGTTGTTTTTGTCTTGTATAGGTAATGTACTAAAAATGTATTCCAATATTATTATTATTATTATTATTATTATTATTATTATTATTTGAAATATCAAGATTTAAACATTTGAAGTTCCTGCATTTGCTGCAAATCCACAGGCTTAACAGCATCTGCAGTGAGATCTGGTCAGACCAGAAAGTGACCCAGCCAGACTTTATTTACCCCCCTTTTTTTTTTTTTTTTTGCACTTTTTCTGGTGCAGTGATAGGTTGAAATCACAAAGTTCACTTCAGCCAACCCTCTCAATAAAATTGTTGCTTTCAGTGCTGGATGGAATTGATAGTGTGGCATTCTTTATAATCTTAGGGGCTGAAGGATGGTTTTGTCTATAATGGTTTTTGTCAAACTGCTCTGGAGCAGTGTGTGTAAAGCCATGGTAAAGCCCCTATTGAGTGTGCAGTAGTTATGGTGCTTAGACTGCCCCCATGTCACACTTTGATTGCACAACAGCTGGTTTCTTATAGATAATCACAGGGGAGTGTGATCTAGGGCCCTCTATTAATGCTTTATGTATATTCTGTTTGTATGGAAATACAGATTTTATCGTTGATACTTTATTACCATTATGCGCATGTTTTACCCCAAAATTGCTAAGCTGGAAAGAAATCTGGAGAATTTTTGAGGTCTGTTACTTTTTTTTTTGTTTTTTTAATTCCATAGTGAATTTCTTATAATTCCCATTCTAGTGAATAATCCCAAATTATTTTATTTTTAGGTTTTGATATATTTCTTTTCGCCATCTATCTTTCCAGAATGTTAACGATGCAATGACTGTGCTCCCCAAACTCTCCACTGGGCTGGATGTTAACGTTCGTTTTACTGGGGTTCAGGACTTTGAGTACACTCCAGAATGCATAGTGTTTGACCTTCTAAATATTCCTTTGTACCACGGCTGGTTGGTGGATCCGCAGGTACCGTATTGTTTTTATATGCTTGAATAGAATACTAAACAATCCGCCAAGAGTTCTCTTTCTAAGGAGCTGAGAATTCTTGTAGTGTATATAGGTTTGAGTCTATAATGGAGCTTCACGACAAACTACTTACAATAATGTATTTTAATAAAACACTATTTTGGGATGGAGTAGCCCTTGCTCGCATGTACTCCCCACGTTAAAAGAAAGCAAGAATAAGCCTCCTTTTCTACCCCCATGCCAAGAACAAGTTCTCACTCAGCCTGATCTTCTCAGGTGATGTTACTCTCCTTGATTGCATGGGGAGAGATGTTAGGGAGGACTTGGGTGACGTGGGGGGGTGCCGCCATTGGCCATTTTTGCCACCGTGCTACGTGCACGGATGACAAACTCATTATTCGCACCTGTGGCAGGAAAAGGGCTTCGACTCTTTTTTTATATGCAGCATTTCTTAGCGAAACGCTGCCATACAGATACATGGTTAAAAGGAGAAACTACTGTTGGACAAATAGGCCCACGCTTGCTTTCTATAAAATAGCTTCCTGCGTTGTGGTTTGAAAAGCAGCCAAGCCATCTGTCACATTGCCCATAATGGCAGGAATGTAATGTACATTGGCCGGCTGTGCCTAACACTGCACAAAAAATGTGCGAATGTTACCCACGTAATTTACTGGGCTACTTCACATTCATTGGAGAAGCTGTGGATTTCAAACCACCTGTGAAAATAAAGCACCTGATCTGATATGTTATTAAAAGAATATCCTAGTGTGGGGTGCTGTTATAATTGCAGGTCTATTCTATGTCACCTGGTGGGTAGAAATCTATATTTACCATGCTGCCTGTTCCTCGTACTGGTGTATCTAATTGTAACCCCTTTAAAAGGACACACTAGGCATCATAACAACTCCTTTTAAAGGAGCACTTCGGTTTGATGCATTATTCTATGTGCAAAGAGTGTGCAGATTTCAATAGAAATAGTCACTTATAAATTAACCTTGTTCATCCCCCTGGCTGTCAGACAACTGGTCCTGTTACTTCCTGGTTTTTCGTTAGTGGTTTTTTGGTTTGTTTTTTTCAGTGGAGCTAAACTCAAGAGGCAGACATTGCCCAGAGCATCTGCCTTACAAAGACTAGAATGTGTTGATCCTATATTTCCGTTTTTTTAATTGAATTACTTTCCTATTAGTAGTTTAATTGTTGGAGAGTGTAAGTGGACAGGATATTAGGTTGCTCTGATTTTCAAAATCTAAGGGCTGTTTCTATCCCCACAGTGCGCAGAGGCAGTTCAAGCCGTGGGAAAACTAAGCTACAACCAGCTCGTGGAGAAAATAATTACGTGCAAGCATTCTAACGACCCCAACCTGGTCACTGAAGGTAAATTGTTATCACCGGCTGCTTTTAGCCCATTTGTAAAATCTGTGTCTAGTGCCTGGGGGAGGGTCTATCCATGTGTGTGGAGGAAGTGTTTTTATCCTTTGCTGATCTGGAGTAAGATGTCCTGCGCGGCGTTGGTGCATTGTGTGTCCTGCGCGGCGTTGGTGCATTGTGTGTCCTGCGCGGCGTTGGTGCATTGTGTGTCCTGCACGGCGTTGGTGCATTGTGTGTCCTGGGCGGCGTTGGTGCATTGTGTGTCCTGCGCAGCGTTGGTGCATTGTGTGTCCTGCGCGGCGTTGGTGCGTTGTGTGTCCTGCGCGGCGTTGGTGCGTTGTGTGTCCTGCGCGGCGTTGGTGCGTTGTGTGTCCTGCGCGGCGTAGGTGCGTTGTGTGTCCTGCGCGGCGTAGGTGCGTTGTGTGTCCTGCGCGGCGTAGGTGCGTTGCGTGTCCTGCGCGGCGTTGGTGCATTGCGTGTCCTGCGCGCCGTTGGTGCATTGCGTGTCCTGCGCGGCGTTGGTGCATTGCGTGTCCTGCGCGGCGTTGGTGCATTGCGTGTCCTGAAATTGACAAGAAGGAATGCTGCTGTTTTTTTATGCAACCAAAGCTCTGTATAAACAAAGCAGGTTAGGAGCATTGAACTGGTTCTATTACCCACGCTTTGTTACGGTGAGTAGACGTGTTGCAATATGTGTTAGAGGTTAAGCAAAGCATTAGGAAATCCATGCAGTTTAGTGTGATCTCATTTCCGTTCGTGAAGTCTGAGCTAATCATTGTATTAGAATAGCAAGATTTCACAGGTTTTTGTTGAAATTGGTAGTAAATGTTTCCTGGTAGCCAGGGACTCCTAGGCCTGTGTCAACAAAACATTGTTAAACTTTCAAATTCTAGCAATGACCTTCCCAACACTGGCAAATAGATTGTATGACAGTAATAGGTTTCCTGGTTTAAAATTTTTTTTTTTTTTAAATTCATTGAGGAAAAGTGTAAAAATATCTTTCAATCTTTAGAATATTAAAATGATCTCTTACATTAGGCAGGTATGAAATTGCCTGTACAGTATGGAATGCACACATTTGTCTGATTGGGCTGCCTCCTGTCTTTTGTAGGCCTCCTTGCAGAACAGTTTCTAGAGTCATCTGCTACCCAGCTCACTTACCACGGACTGTGCGAGTTAATGGCTGCAGTGAAGGAAGGGGAACTCGGTGTCTTTTTTAGAAACAATCATTTCAGTGCACTAATAAAGCACAAGGTGAGAGTGTAAATGTTCTAGAATAAGCCTGGCTGAATCATAATAATGTAGGTGGGGGTGGAGGGGGGGGGAGGCCTTCAAGATTATCATGATCAGCTCTGCAAATGTTCCTGTTCATGCTGTCGCTCCAATGAAGGCCAAAAACAAGACAACTTAAAGGGACACTCTAAGCACCAAACACCTTAATGAAGCTGTCTTGGTGTATAGAACATGCCCCTGCAGCCTCATAGCTCGATTCTCTGCCATTTAGGAGTTAAATGGTTTGGTTTTTGGTTTTATGCAGTTACAGCCACACCTCCCCAAAGAAATGGTTTCATTTTCAATATGATGTAACAGCACAGTGTTTTTACTTTAGAAGTTTGCATCTGCTGCTCTGTTAATTGAACTTCAGTCACTTACAGGCAGCTCCTGCAAACTCTAGCAGGCTATTAACAGAACAGTATACAAGAAATTCTAAATTAAACCGACTGTGCAGTATAGAAAGTTTGAACATTAGATCTCTTTTTACAGAATGTGTGCAGGGAGACTTTAGGTCATATGCAGGTTAGTTGTGGCTAGAGGTACATAATTAAAGTGATTTGAGCAGATAAACTGCAGGGACATGATTTATACACCTTGGCAACCATATACCACTAAATAAATACTCCAGCTGATATGTGCTACTGTAATAGAAGTCCCTACAACTTGTATACTTTGTTTTGTAAATCACTGCAGGTGTAAGCCGTGTGCAGAGTGATTGGGATAACAATCCTGGAATGTTCATTTTTCTCCTATATATCAGAAGTGATTCCGCCATCCTTGGACCGTACAAGTATATGTATGGTCTAAACTCGAGGTAGCTCTGGATGTGCAGCAGCTACAGGAATTGGGGGGATTTTTTTTTTTTTTTTTTATCCAAAACACCTGAAGGTGGTGCCAGTTATAAGGATAGCTGGGTGTTTTTGTAAAGTGTAGAAATTTAGATACTTAAAGGTCTACTTTCCAGAACTCAGCACGTTTTCCTTTTCTGCTATTACAATGAATTAACCCATACTAGGTTACTTTTCCCGGCTCCTGTTCATGGGAGTTTCGAACTGGGACAAAGCTACTCCATAAGAAACTATGGAAACTGCAATACCACTAGTTATTTGCTAGATGGCGTTGTAGTTTACCTGGTGTAAATCCTATACCTAGTGGGATCACATATAAGGTCTCACTAGCTGCACAATGCCAGTTTGGCTAGCAAGTAGAGCCTCCGTGGGCAGAACACCAAATGTGCTACTTTGTTTCTGAGGTCCTAAAAAGACACATCAGGTTATCTAAAATTAAATCTGTAAGACCTTAGCATTAATCTAGAAAATCCATTGGGAGGAAAAGACGTGGGCGGCGCCCCATCTTTGTCCATCATGTCTGGTGAAATTGGAGAGAAAATGTCCCCTTTGTCCACCATCTGGTCAGTTGGATGAAGGCTAATAATGACAGTGTGTTGACAAAGTATTAGAACTTGGAATCCCTTGACCCAGGGGCTGCCCACCCCAGGGCACAGATGGCTGGGTACAGTACAGGCCCTTTCCTACCAGTGGATTGTTCTAAGGAGAACCGCGTGGCATGTGCCTGTTCTGTCACTGTGTGTGAATTTGAATGTATATGAACGTGAGTGTGTATGTGTTTTCCTTAACAACAAAATGAGTTAGGGGTTGGCCAGAGTGGAACACAAATTAAAACAAATTCTACCGTTTGGGAGAAATGGGGGTGCCAACATTTTTGTCCCATATGTTTCATAACCTATACGTGCCACTGTGTGTGTTCACTTACTTTTTGTGGTATGGAACTTGAGGACCTCATAGCACCATCATTGTATTACCCCTACATACACAATTAGCTAGTGGTTGAAAGATATGACAATGGCAGTTTGCAAAGCCCTACCCCAGTTGAATAATATTATTATGATTAATTGTGTAGCATCAATTTATTTGACAGCTCGGTGCAATAGATGGACTAACAAACAAACCGTTGCAACAAGACAAGTTGTATGCTCATAAACACAAGGTGCTGAGCTCCCCACATTCTTTCCAATCACTGCACTACCAAGCGATCTGACTATTAATCACACAATGCAGTGTCCTTAATCTGATCGTGTTAAAATGGGATTTCTGACGGCATTGTAAATCCTGTTTTACATTTGTCATTGGGAATCGTGGAGTTGTTTTGGTGTATTATTCTAATTAATTAAGATATGTGGACTCTTTCTATACAGGGCCACTTGTATCTTCTGGTTACCGACCAAGGATTTTTGCAAGAAGAAAAGGTGATTTGGGAGAGCCTGCACAATGTGGAAGGAGACAGCTGTTTCTGTGACTCGGATTTTCATTTGACCCCACATCTGGAAAAGGAGGCCTCTTTCAACAACCCCCAACAGCTGCAGCAGAGACAGGTGGATCAGGTAGGGGGTGTTACGGGGTATATCTAGGGAAGTGCATCGGTCAGCCACACACTTCCATCTGTTGTGTCTCCTGCTTTTGTCCCTCATGTAGTTTTGGAAACTTCTGTTTGCAGATTCTATTAACTTTTGCTGATCGTTCTTCTCCTGTAGATATAATCTAGAGGCAGTTTTTTCATAACCTATATATTATAATTACACAGACATCCCAACACAAGAAACAGATTAGAACTTAAAGGACATTGACCACCTCAAAACTACTTGTTAATATATGTTCTACTGTAATAAGTCCACTATGTATCTGCAGTACAGAATGGCCACCTTCATGTATCCTTGTCAAGTTTTTGAGAAAATCCAGAGCTGAATTTATAACATGCATATTGCAGTTTTTAAGAAAATAAAACAAAAAACAAATTGTAGAGTTTTGGGGCATTTAATTAACTCATATTTTTAAATTACTTCAGAAATGCCTACCATATGTAAAAGTGTTCAACTTTGGGCCTATCATATGATCTACTTTGAGGTGCCATTTTTCTTTCTTTTTTTTTCTTTAAAGTTTGTTATATTTTTACATAGAACTTAATTTTTGTTTTTTTTGTTTGTTTTTTTAAAATTTATTTTGTATCTTGTGTCCCACTGTAATCTTAACTATACTCTGCAACATCTCCTGAGTACAATAGCCCATATGTATACATTTGCAAAGTAACAATTTTAATTCCAATCTAAATCTTAAATCCTAATACCCCAATCCTTTGCCTAACCCGAATTATAAACCTAAATCTCAATCCAACCCCTATATTAGTGTAAGGATTCCCTCTGCTGATTTCAGCAGAGGAATTCCCTTGCTGGCTGTAATCTGAAATCTAATTCCCAATCTTGAAATTTAATTCTAAACACAATCTTGTGTATAAACACAATGCTAATCTTCAGTCTTATTCTAACCCTATTCTTAACTAATACCAAGAGTTTTCCCCTGATATCAGTACAGATATTGGCAAAGGGAATTCAAAGCTAAAACAGATAGTGGAATGTTGCTGCCATCTACTGGCTATTTCAGTATGACTTAATCCTATCTGTTACATTGTAATATGCCCAATGCATTGAAATCACTCCTGGGAGACTGACAAAGCTCAGCACTGATCAGAATGGCGTTGGGGCATGGAGGGAGACACTCCAGGGTCTGTTCAGCCCATCAAATTCACAAAACATAAGATCCAGTGAGCGAATCACTGTGGCTGAACTTGATTGCTCACCTGCAGTGTTCTCTATGGAGTTAAGGGCTGTATGCACTGCATGCACTAAATATGACCCCGGGTATTCACTGACAACTGGAACACCTGGTGTGAGCTGGGGTTTAACCCTACTCACACCAAATTTTCAGGATGTGCCATTGGCCACAGGCATTAAATCCCAGTATAGCTGAGACGTAACAAAACGTCCTAACGTTGTGAAGTGGTTAATGAACAGGGCTCTGAAAAGTATGCATCTTATCGTCATACTAGCTTTCTTGGTTTTAAAACGGACTTCTGTTAAAAGGCAACAGCAATATATATGCCCTTTAGTTAAATTTACATTAGAGTTTACATTTTTATTTTTTTTATTTTAGGATTATATGATTGCTCTGTCATTGCAACAACAGCAGCAGGGCCCTCTGGCAATGAGTGACTTAGAGCTAGCCAGGCAGCTGCAGCAGGAGGAATATCAACAGCAACAACAACAACAACAACAGCAGCCTCCACCGCAACAGGAGGCGCAGCCGTCTTCACAGCAGGTAAAGCCCAAACCCCCTACCTTCCTGCAGGTATATCAGGCAGCGGAATTCTAACCCTGCTGGTACCTGAACGAAGGTCTCTCTCACTCAGCTTCTAGGTGTCTCTGCCGGGCTATGGCCAGGTGATGTCATATCACGGAGCCATGAGACTGTGTAACTCAATACCTGCCCGGCAGCAGAGTAAGTGATCAGTGCAGTCAGACGCTCAGATCTCACCGCTTTTGTCCAACCTGACCTCAGCAACTGTACCAAATCCCCGTCCAATTCCATGTATGGAATGTATAAGCTATCCCACTTGTATGAGGCCTATGGATATCTCCCCCATACTATCACGTCACTGACTCAAAGATATTGCTAATATAAAATGCATTAGTTAAAACGGATTAATAAATCTATATTAATTTGCTGCCTTTGTGTATAAAGCTTACAATACATCACAAGCCGCTGGAAGGACCTACCAAGTGTTCACTGCTGTGTGTTCGCTTGAGCAGGGCCTTAAACACCATCTGTTCCTGTGCGTCCAACTTTTCTTGTTGCAAATACCCGACTGTTAGTCCACCTATTGTACGGCGCTACAGAATTTGCTGGCACTTTATAAATATGTTCACTGCCTCATAATACAGAAACACAACCTCCAGCACTGTGAAATGTACAAAGAGGGACCGAGCGCTCCGCAGCGGTCAATAAGGACATTATTGCAAACCATAGCTTGGCAACTTTTCAGCTCAATAGTCCTTATTAAGTCTTCTCACTAAACTTCTTTAGAGATAGGGCGATTTCAGGGTCATGGGTACTTAGACTGAAACTACCATGATTCTCAGCCAGAGCCCTTAAGCCTTTACTACCCTAACCATAAAGCACAGGCAGCGCTGGAAGAGCAGCATAGGTTTGCAGCAGGCCTAGTAACGTTTTAGCAGGGTTCTAAAGTTAGAATTCCAAGTGAATTGAAATTTTAGGACTATGTTGTCGAACTGGAATCATAGCTGACTTGGCTAATTTTTCCAGTTTGCCTATTTTGGACTTAAATTTTAAATACACTTTGAATTCTCTCCTTGGTGAATTACCCTGTTAATGTTTATTTCACATACACTCTTGCATTTCTCGACCATATTGTTTTAGTTTGGCAATGCTGTATTCTCTTCAAGCTCTAAGTGGCGCCTAAGTGCAGACTATTGTTCTCTGTTTACACTTAGAGATCATCCCTGGGACTTACACGAATCTTAAGAAAATTGAAAAATCTTTTCAAATTATCCCCTAATCTACAATAATCAGGCTTCTCCCTCACAAATCATTTACAAAGTTACATAAAGTGGATATCCTTAATCTCCTTGCTGTCTGGATATGACCTGGAGGTGTGAGGCCAAAGAGGAAATCCAAAGCCTCAAGGCCCGATCCACGCATGCAGGTCACTGTGTGTGTGTGTGTGTGACCTTGAATCTTCAGAAATCCAGGATAAGGCTTAAACAATGGTTAACCTTTCAAACTGTAATACTCTTACTATGATATACATCTGTGTAAAATGTGGCTTGATGACACTTATGCTTTATTTCTGATTTGTATTCTTAAAAAGCATGGTACCAGCACATTCCGGTGATCATGTGATGTTTAGCACTCTCCCAAATATCCCTATACATCTTACAAGTGTCCTGTGAAATACTTTCCCTGGAAAAGCTCCTATGAGGAACAAGTAATTAAACAGTTACACATCGGATCTCTATGATTAGGCAAAATATCTTTGAAATTGCATTGCTTCCCTCACGGAACTAAGATGAAATCCTTGTTCATTTAATCTATCTTAAAGGGATTCTCCAGTGCCAGAAAAAAACAAACCCGTTCCCCTGGCACTAGAGAATCCTGGAGTGCTCCCCTCCCTCCCGGGATGGGGGATCCCATGTCGCTGAAACCCCTTCAGCTACTTACCTGAATCCAGCGCCAATGGAAAATATGACGATGGAGGGGTCCGTGAGGACGTCCAGCGTCGAATAACGGACCAAAAATCTGTTACGAATCAGGAATCGCCTGTAAACATTAGAGTTTCTCTGGAACTGCAATATTTTACATTGCAGCACTACGTGCAAAATGGACACAGCACCTAGACCACTTTAATTAGCTGAAGTGGTCTGGGTGCCTAAATTGTCCCTTTAATGAGATGTAATTACTTAGGGAATAAAGCAAATAAAATGTGAAATTCAATGGAAATCCCAACAATACACAATTTAGTGGATAAACCGAGCTGTTTTTACAGTTGTTTTGGTGAAATCCTTACAGCTCACAGTTTATTGAATAACCTAATCACGTCAACCCGCTTTAAAACCGTAGCCGACCATAGCGGACATGCTAGGTGGTTTGAGATGCCATCAGCAGCTTTTAGGTTTTGCAGATATGCCCATATCTTGTTCATACTGTTGAACACCGAAATACAGTTACTATGTGTACATGTTTCATTTACCAGCATCATTGTATTCCATAACCTGTTAGGGCTTCATAGGTGCACTTGAAATTGTAAGTACGTTTTCTAATTTTGTGAAATTTATATCAAATTTTTTTTTTTCTCTAATTTTTTTTTTTTCCTCTAATTTTTGTTTTCTAATCTGTCATTTTGTTTTAGGCGAGGGCACAGCCTTCCGGACGCCCTTCTAGAGAACAAAGATCACGGCCTAAGCAGGAATCTGACTGCGTCTTGCTATAGTGTGGATCTTACTCCGAGTGATGGCGTTAATTGTGTTTCCTATAAGGAGTGCCCAGAGGACCACTTCAGAGCAGATCTGCTTCGACATGTTCTGCAGCAGATATTATATTGCAGCTCCACTGATCCTGCTATGTTTATATATGTATTTTGATCCCTTTTTTTCTAATCACTCAAGGAGCTGTGTTTATTCTCTGTTCTTTATATGACCTGAATTTCCTAGAAACTAGCAGAATTCCTACACTGTAAAATACAGTCTTCTGTTGCTATGCTTAATTATTTTGCAATTTACAATCCTAGTTGCCACGAGTGCACTTTTGTGACAACCTGAAACTTAAAGGACTCTTTATTTTATATTTAAAGCAAAGACCAGTAGCTAGAAAGGGTTACAGTGTTTTCTCAGCCTACCAAGAATATTGCAACACTTGCTGTTGATGTGCAGTAATATTGCCACACACAATAAAGGTGTTTATCTATTAACACTAATAGACATATACTACTTGTGACTGAATGCCACCGGGTATGTGGGTCTGCCACCTCAGACAGGGATCCTTGCTGAGAACACGACCATTTTATATCTCCCCCAGCTGATCACCATGCACAGGCCCATCTGGGAATGCCTCTTCTTACCAGTCAGGTATTAACCCCTCTGCCTCCTCCTCCCAGTCAGGTATCGACTCCTCTGCATCCTTTTTGCAGTCACGTATTGACCCCTCTTCCCTCTCCTCCCAGTCAGGTATTGACCCCTCTTCCTTCTCCTCCCAGTCAGGTATTAACCCCTCTTCCCTCTCCTCCCAGTCAGGTATTGACCCCTCTTCCCTCTCCTCCCAGTCAAGTATCAACCCATTTCCTCCTCCTCCCAGTCAGTTATCGACTCCTCTGCCATCTTATCACAGTCGGGTATTGACCCCTCTTCCTCCTTTTCGCAGTCAGGTATTGACCCCTCTGCTTGTCCTGTTTCCAACTACTACCTTTGTGGCATTCAGGCCTAGCTCTTTCCTAACATGTCCCTGACCAGGGCAGCTAGCAAGCAGTTCTGACAACTCTGCTAATGGAATTTCCAAACAAACCAGGTAGGATACACAGCTCTTCATTTTTGGACAAGGACTAGCCTTTGGTGACTTGTCCTTTTTAACATATGGTGACAGCCATTTACAATACAAATATACAAAATATTTGTAAATAAGCAACCATAATTCATACATCAAAATATACAATGCAAGTAACCCTTTTAAACACAATAAAAGCAAAAATATATACATTTAACTGCCTATTTGGGTGCTCTAAATTGCATACCAATAATATGTACATTTGACACGTCCATTCAGTCAACAGAGGGGGCACTGCACAGTTATCAAACTAACAATGTATAGTTTGCAAGTCAAATGCTAGTGTCACACTGCTATTCTATACATTATTCATATGCCAGTCCTGCTGTATCATATCTATTGGGGCCCAGGATGACTAATGGATTCCAGATAGCAGTCATAACTAGCAGAATCTAATATAACCAGTAATGTCTCATCTGATTTCCTGACCTCTTTTTCCTTACGGAAGTGAATGAACTGCTGTATTGCTAATTCAAAAAAAAAAAAAAAAACCCCACAAAGATCACCTTTGCGATCTGTTTGTTTTCTAACTTTTTAGCAACAAGTGATAAATAGCTTGTTCCTTTCTATCTTTTTAAATGAATTTAATATGAGCTTTTTCTGATCCTCGTCATTTTGCACTTAGGTTTGGTGAAGCCCCAATCAAAATGACATTCTTAGATTTAAATTTTATTTGTCTGTGCAAAGATTTCGAGGGTTAAATAATGTTTTTGTTTTTTTGTTTTTGTTTTTTGTTAATGTCAACACTCATTAAGAGATCTGTTGCAACCACCATTACTCTCAGCCAGGAAGTTTGGAACTGTAGCATGACAACATCTAATTAATCTATATTCAATACAGCTGTTGTAAACGGTAATGTTGCTATGACCTGGTCTTCTAACACAGAATCTCTATTTACTAAACAAATGAGACCAGAACAGTTCCAGAAAGTGCGGTTCTAGTAACGATTACAGACTAGGAATGGAGACGTTTATTCATAACGTGCTAACTTTTTTGTGTGTTCTTCTGTTAAACTCTCCGAGCACCCGAGGCAACAGAACAATGGTTGGGCACTGCCACTTAATGCGATTACTTGTCATTTCTAATTGTAAATTAAGTTTTAGAAAACATCCGTGATCTTTTGATGTGTATAACCAGACAATGTGTCCAGTCTATTGTTCATCATGCCCAGGTACTCAAAGGGCCAATGAATTAATGTAACGGCAAATAATTAACACTCCCTCTAAATCTTCGTAGTCCGAAGAAGAAGGGGAAAAAAAATATTTTTATATTCATATACACAATAACAAAGTTTGTCTCTTCCCCAAAACTGATTTTTATTTTTTGTATATCACTAGTTGGAACTGTGTTCTGTCTGATTTAGTTGGGCTGATGTCTATCACATTATGTTTGCTTAGGCATTATCAATGCATTACATTCCTGTTTAAATTCACAAACCACTGGTAAATTTCAATAAAATACAAGAAAAAGGGCAACAAGGTCTTATCTTTTGCCATATGAAGCTTGGTTTTTAGGAACTGGATGAATTAGTTGGCAAAATAAAGGGATCGTTGAGGAACAAGTATTTTCTTTTTTTTATTAAAAACGTGTTTAAGTGAGAAGCTTTTTCATTTCTTCTTTTACATTAGTTTTTTTTTGTTTTATTTTCCATAATATCTCAAGCATTTTATTAGATACATTAATGTGATTTAGTGCAGATATACCTTTGTAAAGCTGATGTAAACCAATCTGCACCTAATGGTTTTCAAATTTAAAAACACTTTTTAGTAGTATAACCCGAAATAAAAAGCTGCATGCATTTAATTATGCATCTTTTCATTATGGATATACCTAAAAACAACTTTAAAAAGGTGTTGACTTCTTGTCTCCCCATTCTAACCCCGCCCACGCTTTCTGTGGCTGTCCAATCACAGACTTCCTGCAGCTCAATGAGAAGGTTTTGCAAGGCAGATGCTCTGGGCAATTGCTGCCTCTTGAGTTTAGCTCCACTTAGCTAACCAAACCAGGAAGTAAGAGTCTGTTGTCTGACAGCCTGGGGGTGTAACCAGGTTAATTTATAAAAGTGACCGTTTCTGTTGAAGTCTGCACATTTTGTAAGATGGAAAAAAAAAGAGGACACAAACACCACCTATGAAGCCTTTCAGCAAGCTAAAGTGCTTTAGTATGCCGGAGTGAGTGTTCCTTTAAGTAAGTTTTTAGGCTCTGCCTTTGCTATTTTGACTTCTTTGTTAGTCGACTGTACCTCTAGGATTTTGGGCTCCTGTTCATGTGAGAGTGCGGGGAGAGTCCATTCCTGATCAGATGGGCTTTTGATGGAACGCGTATGATGTATTAATCTTGGTAGCTATCAATACAATCTACCATTTGGTGTAGGTCACAGATAGTGAAGATTCCAAAGGGTTTATCCCAGAGGATCTTAGTTATATATATTTACCCTTGGTTGCTTTTTTTAGTGACCAGCTGAGATTCGAACTCACCCATTTTTTCATCAAGCTCAGTTTCAATCCCTTAGAGTGTATACGTTGCATAGTCATATAGACTAAAAAAAAATTACTCAAGTCAGTCAGGGTCAGCACTGTAAATCTGTATTACTGCTATTGATGGGAAAGCAGGCAAAAAAAGCCAATTTAAAGTCCATTCTGATTTTGCCACAAAATAGGGAACAATTCATTGCAACAATGGCAATGACATTTCTCATTGTATCAACAAGTTGATACCCTTAACTAGGTCTTGGATAGTCTGTTTTTAAAGTCAATGTTTTAATTTTATTTTCTCCAAAGTTTAGAAGTTCAACATTTTATAGCCTTTTTAAAGGACTTACATTTTCCATTCATATTCCCCCATTTTCATTATTTTTGGTTCCATAATGTCTGCAGAGGTTATGGTGCCAAGAGCCTAAAAATGGTATGCCAGAATGACCGACTGGCCAAAAGGGCAACGTATCAGGGATGCCTTTTTGCTTAAGTGTTAATGTAAGGGTTAAAAAAAATCAGCTGCCACAGAGCTATGTGACTTGTCAGGTCTGGCCTGGGCTTGCTGTTAGTCTTGTGCAGAATATAGCAAACCATGCGCCCCCATGTCTAGATTATTAGGTTTATGTGTATACATTGGGCCGTGTGTCACGTGCAGCTTTACACTGAAATGGTACACCACCCCTCAGTACATTGTCTTCCTAACATCGCTCCTGGATTACGGGACACGAGGGACATCAGCCAGGTCCTTCTAAGTGTATTAATAATAATAAAACCAAGTCTATCCATGCTCCTGTGACGACGAACGGGGGAGAATAGCTGTATGTTTAGCTGGTCGGTACAGTGCAAGAACCACAACTACCCCGAGTGTTTTCAATCGATAAAATAAATATCCGTCTCTAACGCTATGTCATGTTTATATCACCACAAACCACTCTCCTCTCCACTTTCGATGTACGTGACCTGACATCATGCCAGAACTACGCACGCTCCGAATAAAGAGAACTAAAGCTCACGGCAGTGGATCTGGAAGAAAGATTTTCCAAAAAATGTTCCTGGCCTATAAAAAGAAGACTGGTAGAAGTATAATTTAAAAAAAAAAGAAATTGAAAAATCTGTTTTTGCCTTCGTAGGGCTATCCAAGAATAAGAGCTGGTGTTTCATAGAATATTTATAATTTTTTAGAGAAAATTTTACTTTTTATTTTTTTTATTTTTACGTCTGACTGTTATCTGACCAAATGCTGATCAACCTAACTTGCTGCTGCTGTGATTGCTCTGCGTGAATAGGTGGAACATCAGTTGGTCAGATAACAGTAGAATCTAACCCAACATGGCTGCTCGGTCTGAAAAACAAGTGATTTATTTTCTCAAAAAAAATCCCAGTGTACACCATTAAAAAAAATACATATATATTTTATTAAATATGAACTTTAAAAAAAACAAGAAATAAAAATGTGTCTGTTACAGATCCTTCCGTTAATGGACGCTTCCTAGCTTGCGCCGAGGACCACAAGCACTGCACTGAACACCACAACCACTGCAGACTCCACAACCGCTGTAGCTTAACTGGAGTCTCGTCGTCTTCCTTCCACCCTGGATCAGCTTCTGTCCTCCAGGACCGTGTGGGAAAGACCTCTCCTCCAGGAGAGCGTATCAGGAACAAGTTCTTAAAAGAGCTTAGAAGTGATTTAGCAAGGGAGTATGACAAGCATAGCAATCCATTGTAGCAGATTCCCCCAATAAGAGACAAGACTCAGATTGAGGGTGAAGTAGAACTGAAGCTTTTAATAAAACACTCTGCTTTTATGCCCATTTTACACACATAGTACTGCCCACAGGGTTTTGCAGAACAACCAATCAATACGTACAATACACTCAGACACTGCCACACAAAATCCTTCCCTCTGCCTGTGATATAATTACTGAACACAATGGTCTAACTTAATTATCACAGGCAGGAAAATACACAGTTTTACACAATATTCATAGCTCTAAAAGTATACATCACATTCACATAAAACTTACCTTCAGAATCTGCATTCTCCAAATACAAACTTACGTCAAAATCATACAAATTTGTCCAGTGGGTCAAAAGTTAGTTGAAAGTCCCTTTGTGACCATCTGCAAGCATGGCTTGGGTGTGGTAAGCCAATTACCTCCAGCATACAGAAAATAGCTCTATTCACAACAACAGTAAAAACACATCAAAATACATAATTCCTATTATACTTAACAGAACCCACACATTCAGCGCTCAGATACCACAAACGCAGTCAAATCGCCATGGGGTTAAAACATAGCAAGAGCTGATGAGAGACCGAGGAGGGGCAAAACAGCAAGTTCCAACTGGTCTGGCAGTGTGCCTAGGACAATGCCCTGCTGGAACAATAGACAGGAAATGGGGGAGGGGAAGAGACACATCTTCCCATGGATTCAAATGGGCAGAAAAAGTATTTTAGAAGCCAATAAGCCCCAAATAGTCTTTTTAAATGGCAATACACCCCAGGGCCATAGTCATGATGGAGGAGGCTGGCAATCAGGCTCCTCCAACAGCCAGGGGCAAAGGGCAGTTGGTCATATAAAAATCCAGTGACAAAAGGCATTTTTGTCACAGTGTCCTATAGATGTCCTTTAACTATGACCGGACTAGACTGTATGGTTCTACCGGAGTCTTTATCAAGGCATGGCCGCTGCTTGTGTTTTACAGCAGATTTTCTTAGGCCTTTGATATCCTGGCTGTTATCAGGATCTAGGGACGTTGCCAGATTAAAGGTTTTTTGTAAACACTGTTACGCAGTAAAGTGTGCCAAAACACATTTTATGTAATCATCCTTTGTGAAAAATCTAGAAGGCATTATTAAACTATGTTTTGGGATTAATGAAACATTCCGAATAAGGCTGCAGTATTGGCAGGGATGGTGCTAGTGTTAAAGCACAAAAAAAGGATTATAAGAGTCTATCTCACGTTCAAGAGATGGCTTTAATTATATACACACTAACACTCTGTACAAAAAGTGAACATGACATGCCATTAATTGCAACTAAAAGTGTTTCACGTAAAAAAAAGCTGAGAGTTAAAAAAACAACACTCTCTGCACACAGGATCCACATCTTTTATGAAACCGGGTTTACAAAAAGCAGAGGGACTGCAGTTGGAGCCTCGTAGCCGCATATCTTAAATGATATAAGAAGCCGAGTTGAGCACAAATCCCGGTGAACAAATCATAGGGCTGTCAGTCTACAAACAAACATATCGAATCGTATGGGATTTGCCCAAGGACTCGATTTGTTCGTCTATAGATTGACAGGCATTTGATTCGTTCATCACAGCAGGCAGAGATTTGGACACAAGTCTGAAAGAAAGCCAGGAAAGGGATCACTGAAGGGGAGCGTTGAGGAAGACTAAAACAACTGCAATTCACCCTAAAATCAGGATCATTTACTCTTTCACCCCGGGACCCTCAAAATCTCGCCTCCACCAACATAAGAATCTGCCCATTCGCCCCCAATGAATCTAATTCTTTATCTTATTATCTGTCTTCCTTTAACCTATCTCTCCTTAGTGGATTTCCCATCCTCCCTTCTGTGTCGTTATACATGCAGCTATTAAAGAATAAACACTGGCATTTCATCAGGCAATGATGAGCTTGAATCTCGTTGACTCGGAGAATGTTTCCGAATTTGTTTATTTTAATCTAAAACTTGCCGTTTAGTGAATATCCCTATAAAGGGTTTATTACGTAGACTGATTTAAAAACCAAATAGCAAAATTCGTGTTAAAATATCCAAACTGTATAATTATTGTGTTTCTAAATATTTTACAATACAGGTTTTCGTTGGGCCTGGATTTTGCAGTTTGCAGTCTCCATTCTCTACAATTCACTGTTCGGAGGTTTATTCGCTAAACGGTGAATGTTGCCGAAATGTAAGTGGAATTATAAGTCAGTCACAGCCATGGCTATTTGTGCCTGAATTTTGCGATTCGGTTTTCGCTCTTTCGTTGCATGTACCCTTAACGTATACAGCCCTGCAGTACAGCCTGACAGTCACATGACATATACAACAATAAACACTCAGACTTGACGTTCTTCTGAAAGCCACGCACATAGCACACGGTCCCTAAGGCTCCAGCAGCTGATATTGTCAGACGGTCCCTGGGCCATACGCTATGAGGTCAAAGTATTAAAGGGGCTGGCTGGCTGCTCTGTGCACACTGTGTCTCAGGTTAGTTGACTGCAGCATGTTTTTGGGGTTTTTTTGCAAGAAGTCTGGTTGGTTACAATAACTAATATAGGGATTTCTACACTCTATATAATGCTAAATCACTGTTCTCATATATCTTACTTTACCAATGAGGGATCTCCTGGTAGACCAGTAATTATTGGGCAATCTTTGCAGCCAGGTGTTTCTGAACTACATTTCCCATGATGCTTAGCCAGCCTTAAAGGCCCACACTTGCATGTAAACCCTCTGCAGCATCAGACTGCGAATGTAGCCCTGACCTCTGCCGGCTGATTAACTGCGCTGTGAAAACTTATAGGATTCTATGGAGACTTGACTGCACGCAGGCAAGAGGGGCCAATAGTCGACAAAAGCCGTATTAACCCTTCCTATACCAGCAGCGACACCGCATGGTTAAAAAACAAAATCTGCATTTCTAAGTAGTGGTGCTGCTATAAACGCCAATGTCTTTACAAAATACATGGTTACCTAGTGTCTTGTGAATCCCCCCAATAATATAATCCCATTTGTTATTCCTCTGTCCCCCCCCCCACCACCACCCTAAATTCTATTCTATAACATTTAACTGCCCACTACTAATCTATCTAAACTAATAGTGGAATATGGGACAAGGCATGATCTCATCATTCAGAGATTTAGAGTATACTGGCAAATTATAAAAATGATATATTTAGTAATTAGCCAAATGTGATGATTTTACAATGCGAAGCTAGCTGGTTTATTCCCTGTGTGAACTTGCCGTGAATTTAGAGTGAATTCTAAATTTTAGTCTAAAATTATAAACTGGTATTCCAAAGATTTTAGTGGGACAGTCCAGATTTTCGGACTCTTTCCCGTCGTCCCGCACTATTTCCCTGGTGTCCCCAACCACCATAGTGTGAGCACATCATTAAACACAATTGCTCTATTCTTAGGACACTAGGACCCTGCAGAAAGCACTGATACGGTGCTCCCCTCAGGGGCTGGCCTTAGATGATTGGCAGGTTGCCTGGCGTGAATGCACCTGCCAATAATTTGGGTGGACACGCCACCTTTCTGGGCAGGCCCGCCCCTTTGGGTGGAGCCAGTAATATAATCAGGTCACTGGTCCACCCCTTTCTTGTGACGCGAGAGTTGGGAGGTATGTATAAATGTCAACACACACATTATGTGTAATATATATTTAACAGACAATAAGATAAAAAATAATTTAACAAGTCTGAGGGTAACAGCCATTTCTTTTATTAAAGGAACACTATAGTCACCTAAATTACTTTAGCTAAATAAAGCAGTTTTAGTGTATAGATCATTCCCCTGCAATTTCACTGCTCAATTCACTGCCATTTAGGAGTTAAATCACTTTGTTTCTGTTTATGCAGCCCTAGCCAGGGCCGGACTGGGAGAAAAATTCGGCCCGGGCATTTTTTTAACACAGCGGCCCACTAAAAAGGGGGCGGGGCAGAGGAGGTGTGTTTTGTCATCACCAATGACAAACACGCCTCCTCTCAAAGTGAGCATGTTGGTTCAATGCTCTTCCAGGGCAGACCATGCGCAGAGCTCTGCTGAAGAGCTCTAGCATGAGAAAAAAGTCCTGTATTTGTTCTGCACAGTGCAAGCAAGTTTAATAACATGCTTGCACTGTGTTTCCTTGCAACTTGTCTCTGGTGTCTATAAATGGATACCAGGAGACAAAAGGCCAGGAAAGAGTATTGTGCATGTGTTTGGAGCCTGCTTGTGGTATTGCGTGTGTGTAGAGTGAGCTGGTCGTGGTGTGGTATTGTGTAATAAGGTCAGTTTTAGTCGTGTTGTGTTTGTGGTGTAATGTGATGCATATGTGGCTATGGGCTGTAGAGAATATGTGTATTGGGGATATAGCAAGTGTGTGCATACAGGCTATAGTGTGTGTGTGTTTAGGGGTGTAGTATGTGTTTGCTTACAAGGAATCTAGTGTGTGTGTATAGGGGATCCAGAGTGTGTATGTTAAAGGACCACTATAGTGCCAGGAAAACATACTCGTTTTGATGGCACTATAGTGCCCTGAGGGTGCCCCCACCCTCAGGGACCCCCTCCCGCCCGGCTCTGGAAAGGGGTTAAAACTTACCCTTTTCCAGTGCCGGGCGGGGAGCTCTCCTCCTCCGATCCGCCCCGTCGGCTGAATGCGCACGTGCGGCAAGAGATGCGCGCGCATTCAGCCGGTCGCATAGGAAAGCATTTATAATGCTTTCCTATGGACGCTTGCGTGCTCTCACTGTGATTTTCACAGTGAAAAGCACGCAAGCTCCTCTAGCGGCTGTCAATGAGACAGCTGCTAGAGGCTTTGGGGGAAGGCTTAACCCATTGATAAACATAGCAGTTTCTCTGAAACTGCTATGTTTATAAAACAATAGGTTAACCCTAGAAGGACCTGGCACCAAGACCACTTCATTAAGCTGAAGTGGTCTGGGTGGCTAGAGTGGTCCTTTAAGAGTGTAGTGTGTGTGTGTGTGTGTGTGTGTGTGTATATATTTGGAAGTATTGTGTATGTGTGTGGTGCAGTGTGTTGGGGGGGTTCTGTGTGTATGTGTGTGTGTGTGAGAGTGCGGTGTGTGTGTGAGAGTGCCGTGTGTGTGATGTGTGTGAGAGTACCGTGTGTGAGTGATGGGTGTGAGAGTGCTGTGTGTGAGTGATGGATGTGAGAATGCTGTGTGAGATGGGTGTGAGAGTGCTGTGTGTGAGAGAGTGCTGTGTGTGAGAGTGCTCTGTGAGAGTGCTGTGAGAGAGTGCTGTGAGTATGATGGGTGTGAGAGTGCTGTGAGAGAGTGCTGTGAGTGTGATGGGTGAGAGAGTGCTGTGAGTGTGATGGGTGTGAGAGAGTGCTGTGAGTGTGATGGGTGAGAGAGTGCTGTGAGTGTGATGGGTGTGAGAGTGCTGTGTGAGAGAGTGATGGGTGTGTGTGAGAGTGCTGTGTGAGAGAGTGCTCTGTGAGAGTGCTGTGTGAGAGTGTGCTCTGTGAGAGTGCTCTGTGAGAGTGCTGTGAGTGTGATGGGTGTGAGAGAGTGCTGTGTGTGTGTGAGAGCTGTGTGAGAGAGTGCTCTGTGAGAGTGCTGTGAGTGTGATGCTGTGTGAGAGAGTGCTGTGTGTGATGGGTGTGTGAGTGCTGTATAAATGTTATTGTGTGTGTGTAGGGGGGGTAAATAATAATAAAAAAAAAAACAGGCATTATGTCCCCCCCTCCCTTCTTACCTTTAGCCTTGGAGGGGGGGGGGCGGCATGCTGGTGACTGGGAGGCCGGGAGGCAGTGTTCCCTGGTGGTCCTCGTGGGTGAGTAAACTCTAGCCTGTGAGGCTAGAGTTCACTCTCGCGAGATCCGGTCGTTGCCATAGCAACGCGCCGGATCTCGCGAGAGGAACCCGGCGGAGCCGCAAGTTAGAGCTCCGCCGGGTCCTCTCTCCAGCCTGGCTGGCTGCCTGTCTCCCTCCCCGCCGGCGGCCGCATGTGGGCCGGGTGAGGGAGAGCTTTGATCTCCCCACCGGACCGTCGTGGCAGACAGCGGGGCCGGCGCTCGGATAGTGCCGGCCCTGCATAGACCGGCAGGGGAGATCCTGGGACCTCCCCTGCCGGCCTCGGCCCCACGGACACCGCGGCCCACCGGGCATTTGCCCGGTGTGCCCGATGGCCAATCCGGGCCTGGCCCTAGCCACACCTCCCCTGGCCATGATTGACAGAGTCTGCATGAAAAAAAAAACTGGTTTCACTTTCAAACAGATGTAATTTACCTTAAATAATTGTATCTGAATCTCTAAATTGAACTTTAATCACATACAGGAGGCTCTTGCAGGGTCTAGCAAGCTATTAACATAGCAGGGGATAAGAAAATCTTAATTAAACAGAACTTGCAATAAAGAAAGCCTAAATAGGGCTCTATTTACAGGAAGTGTTTATGGAAGACTGTGCAAGTCACATGCAGGGAGGTGTGACTAGGGTTCATAAACAAAGGGATTTAACTCCTAAATGGCAGAGGATTGAGCAGTGAAGCTGCAGGGGCATGTTCTATACACCAAAACTGCTTCATTAAGCTAAAGTTGTTCAGGTGACTATAGTGTCCCTTTAATAAAGGTTTTTGTTAGGTTGCATATATAAACCGTGTAGTGTATTCGACTCGTTTTCATTTTGTTAAGCTTAGCTTCAGTCTTCTGGAATACACTAATAAATAATTTTTTTATAATTACAAAAATACAAGTAACCTGTTCAGTAACAGGATTGTACAAACGATACACAGTAATCCCTTGTTGATCCAAGGAGAAATACGGTTTCCATTTTGAAGTCAAGAAGGAATTTACTATATTGTTGCGCATTGGGAATTTACTAGCTATTCTGAAATATTGTTTTTTGTTTTTTTCTTTGCCTTTGTTTGGATCAACAGCAGAACGATGTGTGCAGCACTGAACTTGATAGACTTGAGTCTTTTTTTCCAACCTCAGTTACTTTGTAAATAAGTATAGAATTCACTAGTCGGGGTCTATTTGTGGGCATTGAGTTGTGATTTCAATACCCCTATGGGGTGTCTTGTTGCACTGCTTCCTTTAAAAATAGCTCGCTATATTTGTATTGTAATTTACAGGCTGAGTAGAAGAAGTGTATTATGGGTAAGTTGTGCATAATTGTGTCCTTTTAAACAGCAAGTCTGACCAAAGAGACCAGATCCCAGTGAGCCTCTCCGTGTCCAGGTGTCCGACTTATCCTTTCCGAGTTCTGCCTGATCCAGAAGGACTGAGTGAGTTCTCTGTTTAAATCCACTGATATTCTTTATTCTTATATAGAGCTCCTATCCAGGGTGTTTGCCTATATTAGCAATTAATTATTCACTAACGCCTATTATTAATATTTTATTGAGGATTAACTCTCTGACTATCAGAGGGTTGAGAGTACAATGGATTGAGTTTTATACACAGGATTTGTTAAAATCTTTTAGTGATGCAAAAGGTAAATACCTGCCAACAGTCCTTGATATTCAGTGATAGTCCCTATTTTTTAATATTTGTTGGAGTTTTAAGTAGATATATACACACAGGTATAAGAACACCACCATTCTTCCCAGCACTTTTAACAGAGCTCATTTGTGTAGATTTATTTATAACAATTGTAAAATATAAGTCCTGCGCTCACTCCCATCACTACAGGGTGGCAGCAATGACTACAGTACACATCAGCCCCAATATATAGTAAAAACCAGAGAAAAACAAGTTACCTGCGCTCTCTCCTTAATCCCTATGTATATTTAAACAAATGGAGGTCATTTAGTTACTCCAATGACCATTGCAGAGAATGCCCGCCTGCCAACGTTATGGCAGACCCCCCTAAATCGGGTCCTACACTGACCCTTCACCTTGCTTCTTTGATCTTCTGGCAAAGACAATGCTGCCGCCCATCCTATGTGTTGATAAGCATGTAGGGATGTTTGTAAAGAATACCCCTCTCTGTCTCATTAGAGATATCTTTGCCAGAAGCTCAAGGAAGCAGGCTGAAGTGTCAGTGTAGGACCCGCTTTAGGGGGGTCTGCCTCGACGTTGGCAGGCGGGCATTCCCTCCAATGGTCATTGGAGTAACTAAATTACCTCCATTTGTCTAAATATACATAGGGATTAAGGAGAGAGCGCAGGTAACTTGTTTTTCTTCAATTGTAAAATATGCCTATTGTGTAATAGCAAAAATGTTATGAATACAATGTAATGATGTAATTTGTAGAACTTTCCACAGAATAACATACTCAGTTTATCTTTTTTTTAGCTCTATTCATTTAGTGCTAGCTTACAACTTACAGCTACCTGACACAATTAGGAATCAGAAGTTCCTTGATTCATGAGAGCTGTGATATTTAAAGGAATACTCCAAGCACCATAACTACTGTATACTGTAGTGGTTATGGTGCCAGGAGTGCCCTGTTATAACAATTTAGGAGATACAGTTGCTTGGTAGAATAAGTTCTACATTATGGTCAATTCTGATCTTGAGCAAGAAAAACTGGAATGGCTCAACTCATGTCTTCTGGGGCAAATGTACCCCCGCAGCGTTTCAGTGATGGCTGTAATCAGTAAGAAGGTTTAAACACGGTTTTCACGGTAGGCTAGAAATTCTGTAGAGTTCACACATTGTTTGGAAAACTTTATTAAAGAATCTAGGAGGCGGAGCCTAACAGCGGAGGCAAGCAGATGCAAGTCTAAGGAGCTCCGAGCAAAAACGGACGAAAATACGCTCAAAATCGACAGATACTACCCCCAACAACCACTAACTGAAGGCGGGAACCCCTTAAGCCCTAATGGGACGCAAACACAAGAAACAGATGCCGGATAATCCAGCCCCAGGACTCACAATAGGGGAAATGTGGCGGCAAGCATGCGGCCCGAGCGGATCCAATATGGCGGCGCTCCACGGAGGCTGCTCGGATTTCTCCGATGGCTACTCAGAGGGAGCTGAAGATGAATGCCTCCTAACCCCAGACCCAAAGCCCAGGGCAAAACCCAGCAAACCAAGGAAGGACCCAGATGCCGACCTGGTAACCACTGGGGTGTTAAAGACCCTACTAGCCGACCTCCAAAAAAACATCCTTGCGGATGTCACCGCACTAAGGGGAGAGCTGCAGGGCCTGACGGGTCGCATAGCAGTACTGGAGGCCACCTCCCAAGAACAGCAGAGCACTATCGCCTCACTGAGAAGCGACATTCAGGACCTGCGCAGCCAAAATATGCTGCATGAACGGCGCTTCGCAACCCAGGAAGACTCAAGACGGAGACTCAATATCAAAGTCAGGGGACTCCCAGAGGGGTTGCCGGAGACTGACCTACCGCACATGATCAAGCGCCTGCTAACCAGCATACTGCCCACAGACCAAGCTAAAGCTATAACACCAACAGATCTCTTCCGGATTCCGAAACCTGCTGGGGCCCCAGACATGGCCACAAGGGACACCGTACTCACCTTCAAAAATGGGACTGACAAATCGGCGGTCCTCACAGCCGTCCGGGGTAAAGCCCCCATACAATTTGAAAATGCTAAACTAACCTTCTACGCTGACTTGTCCAGTGGAACTCTGGCGTGGCGCAGGTCACTTAGGCCTCTTACCTCCACACTCCAGCGCAACAACATTCAGTATCGCTGGCGGCCCTCGCACACGCTCCTGATACAGCAAGGTGAAAGAACATACCAAATCTACAGCATGCAAGATGCAGCGGCCCTTCTCCGAACCCTGGGCCTGCCACAGGATTCACTCCCCCAAGCGGGACCCGGTGCTCCCACCACCCCGAGCCACAGCTGGGATCCAGCAAAAAGTGCCCCATTCAGACCACGGAGCACCACACCGGTTACCTACGCCTCAGTTACCACATAGATGGAACCTAAGGGCGCACCCTCCAAGCTCCGCAACACCATGACCTGCCTACACCGAACTGCCGAGAAGGGGAGTACCGCTCCAGGGCACCACCAATACCCCGCAAGGCATCGGTTGATGAAATCCACTATCAAGTCCTTGGGGACTCTACTTTCCTCTTCTCCCCTTTTATCTCTCATTAAATACGCCATCACATGATTCAGGACTCTGACCTGGAGAACACCAGGGAACCTTGTAACTCTGTTTGGCAAGTTTGGGATTGTTCACCTGCAGTAACACGTTCATAGCCACTGTCTGTTTAATAATTAATCTACTAATACTTCACACTTATAAGGCACATAACTGTTATTTTTCTCCGTTTTTTAATTTTTTTATTTTGTAGCCTTTGTTTCCTTAAAATGAGACTCTATACTGAGCTCCATGTGTGGTATATTACGCGATGGCTAACACACAAATACTCGCCTCCTTAGCAAGTACCCCTAAGCAAGAATTCCCATGTAACATTGTTACCCAGAAAAGTACAGGGAAATCCCACCTAGCAGACGAGAGTAGCTTCTTAGGATATCACCTGGGAATCGGCCATACGCAAAATAGATAACACCACAACTTTACCCTACTACCTTAAGCTTGGCGGCCCTTCAACCCCCAATCACGCATTAACCATGACCTTAAGGGTCCCTACCACACAAACAGGGGGATTTATGTCTGCCCCGGACAGCTTGAATTTAGTCTACCCCGGCGGGCCCACTTCCATTCCCAGCGAAGCATTTAAGCGGCACAGCTAACATAGCCCTAATGTGTCCCCTCGGACCACCTCACAGGAGTACCTTCAATAGCGCGGCACAATTAAAATCGCAGCTCTGATCAGACATACTGTACTAAACGCATAACACTGTATAACCCAATCAGGGCAGGTGCAAGGATTTTTGCCGCCCTAGGCAAAAGTAAAGTTTGCCACCCCCCCCCCCATATGACATCACAATGCCCCATGTTAACTAACGCAAGTGCTGCAGTGCCGCCGTGTTTACATTAAAAGGCCTGCAGGGACAGGCTATAGACAGCAGAACCACTACATTAAGCTGCAGTGGTTCTGGGGACTAAAGTGTCCCTTTAATGTGAGGTAAATTAGAGATTAGTGCCACGAATAATATACTAGATTGCCTACTTACAATCAGATGAGGATAGTGATGGGCTCTAGCTGCAGTCTGGCTCCACTCGTCTGGTGTAGAACAGGCTCTCTGGAGGCTGTTTGTGTTCTGGGAGAACGGGAAGCAGCTCCATTTTTTGGGGGCCCTTTACACAGCTCAAGGTCTGGGCCCCAGGGTCCACCTTCATGTTCCACCAATTAGTTTGTTCACAGGAGTAGGGGATGTCCTGATATGTGTGTAAGGAATGCATTGTGTGAATCTGTGTTTGTATGCGTAAGGGCTGCAATGTGTGTTTCTATGTATGTACGGGATGCAGTGTGTGCATCTGTAAGGGGTGCATTGAGTGTGTGTAAGGAATGCATTGTGTGTTTCTGTGTGTGTAAGGGATGCATTGTGTGTAAGGGTTGAATTGCTTGTGTGTGTGTGTGTGTGTGTGTGTGTAATGCATTATGTGTTTTTCTGTGTGCAAGGGGTGCATTGTGTGTGTGTGATGGCTGTCAATCTCTCCCCCCTCCCTTGTCCCTCTCTTCTCCCCCTCTCCCTCCCTCGTCACTCTCTTCTCTCCCCCCCTTGTCTCTCTCTTCTCCCCCCCTTGTCCCTCTCTTCTCCCCCCTCTTGTCCCTCTCTTCTCCCCCCTCCCTTGTCACTCTCTTCTCCCCTGCGTGTCCCTCTCTTCTCCCCCCTCCCTTGTCACTCTCGTCTCCCCCGTTGTAACTCTCTTCTCCCCTCCCCACTCTCATTCCCCCTCCTAACCCCGTCATTTCCCCTCCCTGTCAATTTCTTCCCTCCCACCTTGTCAATTTATTCCCCCCACCCTGCCTGTCCATTTATTTCCCCACCCTGCCTGTCCATTTATTCCCCCCACCCTGTCCATTTATTCCCCCACCTCCCTGTCCATTTATTCCCCACCCTGTCCATTTTATTTCCCCCCCTCTCCATTTTATTCCCCCCCTGCCTGTCCCTTTATTCCCCCCCTGCTGTCCATTTATTCCCCCACCCTGCCTGTCCATTTTATTCCCCCCCTCCTGTCCATTTATTTCCCCTCCTGTCATTTATTCCCCCTCCTGTCCATGTATTTCCCCCCCCTGTCCATGTATTCCCCCTCACTGTCCATTTGTTCCCCTCCCCTCCTGTCCATTTATTCCCCCCCTCCCCTCCCTGTCCATTTATTTCCCCCACTCCGTCCATTTATTCCCCCCACCCCGTCCATTTATTCCCCCCCCCACCCCGTCCATTTATTCTTAATACTTAATCTTAATGTGACTACTAAGGGACACATATCTGTGAAACAAAATACTACTTTTACTTGTCTCTATAAGTGTAAGTTATTATCCTGTTTATATAACTACTTTAAAAAGTGCAATGTTATTACTGCCATGGGCTTAAACGTGTATTTGAACTGGAGCGCACCAGCTATTGTGGCTGTGCAACTCCGCCTGTTAACCTTATGCACGACCAAAAATAAAGAATTATAAAAAAAAAAAAAAAAATCTACTGAAAATGTCGCAACACTGGCTTGTTTCATCCGCAATAGATGTCGGGACTTCATAATTCTCTGTGATTCTGTAATAAAGAGGATATATGTATAATTAGATATATTTCTTTTTTTGAACCTGTTAAAGGAACACTTTAGGGTCCCAGACCACATCATCCCTCTGAAGGAACAGCAATGTTTCCATTGTAGGAGTAACCTGTGTCTATTGGCTGTTATAGTGCCATACAGCCACTAGAGGCACCTGAAATAGTGGAGTAAAGCTTATCTATTTCAATCAAATGGTCCCATGTGCATTAGCCTACCAATGCTTTCCTATTGGATCAATCTCGATGATCTCAGACAAGAAGGCGGAACGGTGTGCCAGAGACCAACGCTGCGAGGGAGAAAAGGTAAGTAAAGGCAACTTTCTAACCCTGGCAGTAGGGATCTGGTCACCTAAATGGTCACTAGGGCACTATAGCGTTGGGCATATCATTTTTTATTTCTATCACTGTTGTGTTCCTTTAAGTGCTGGGTCTTTTTCTTATATTGTTGATATTTCCACTTGTGATTATTTCAGTGGTTTGTCTTGTTCTCTGTGCAGTGGGATTGCAGACATCAAATTTTAAGCTACAAAGTACTTTTTTATTGCCCAATTTAAGAGCAACATTTGTGTTTCAAAGTTAGCGCTCCAAAAATTGTTCATTTTATAAAAAATACTTATTATTAGCAAGATTTTAAATTAGCCACCTTAGAAACGTTTTATACTTTAACTGTTTTTATGCTACATAATATATTTCTCTGACAGTAAAACAGACCACATAGTACGTCTGGAATAGCACTGCTCGGTCTCCTTGGTCATCTGACATTCTTTTTCAGCAGAGTGACGTGTAGGATGCCCCCTACACCTCCCCACAACTTCTCCTGGGTGGAACCTGGGCTGTTGGCTGGCATGGCTATGCCTCGACTCCCTGCCCACTACGAGTATTTATACCAGAATGGTATACGGCACCTGATAACACTGACAGAGCACAAACCGCCGTATCATGACACTTGTCCTGGCATCACTCTGCATCGTATTCGCATCGTGGACTTCTGCCCACCGAGTTTGGACCAGATCAAGAGCTTCCTCAAAATCGTAGAAGATGCAAACGCTAAGAAAGAGGTACCATGGTCAATCTAGGCCTAACTGTTCTGGTGCATGTACATTGGATTACACTTGTATCAGGCCATGTAATCAATGCACTTGTGAAATGTGTTTGAACAAAAATCACTTATTTGTGTAACATATTAAACACTTTCAATAAAAGAAAGTTCTTAAAAGAAAACAAAGGGCTAAGTTAAAGGGACACTGTAGGCAGCTGACCACTTCAGCTTATTGAGGTGGTCTGGGTGCAATGTCCCATGTCCCTTAACCCTACAGTGGTAACTATTGCAGTTTCTGAGAAACAGCAATAATTACCTGAGGGTAAACTCATCCTCTAGTGGCTGTCTACCAGACAGCCACTAGAGGGACTTCCGGAATCCAAACCTTTGGTCCGTTATCTGACGCTGGACGTCCTCACACTCTGTATGAGAACCTCCAGCGTCAGTTTTTTCCTATAGGAAAGCATTAAAAATGCTTTCCTATGGGGAAATAGTAATGCGAGCGCGGCCATTGCCGCGCATGTGCATTAGGTCTCCCCTACCAGCTGACGACGGCGGGCGAGGAGCGTAGACGGAGCCTTACCCAGCGCCGAGATACAACGGCACTGGCTTCAGGTAAGTGGCTGAAGGGATTTTAACCCCTTCAGCCATGCGGGAGGGGGGGATTCTACAGTGCCAGGAAAACAAGTTGTAGAACGAGAGTAAAAAATAAAAAATTACCATAAATTGTAAGTTGTGGAAAAACTCTACCACCCAGCTCCTCCATGTGTCTCATCCCCACCTCCACTTCTCCATTTGTCTCATTTCCCCCCCCCCACTCCTCTATGTGTCTCACCTTCCACCAGCCCCTCCACGTGTCTCATTCTCCCCCCAACCCCTGCATATGTCTCATTCTTCTTCCACTAGCCCCTCCATGTGTCTCATTCCACCCCTAGCCCCTCCATGTGTCTCATTCTTCTCCTCCCAGCCCCTCCATGTGTCTCATTCTCTTCCCACCAACCCCTCCATATGTCTCATACTCCTTCCCCTAGCCCCTCCTTGTGTCTCATACTCCTTCCCCTAGCCCCTCCTTGTGTCTCTTTCTCCTTCCCCCAGCCCCTCCTTGTGTCTCATACTCCTTCCCCTAGCCCCTCCTTGTGTCTCATACTCCTTCCCCTAGCCCCTCCATGTGTCTCATTCTCCTCCCCCCCCAGCCCTCCTGTGTCTCATACTCCTTCCCAGCCCCTCCATGTGTCTCATTCTCCTCCCCCTGCCTCCCGCCATGTGTCTTCATTCTCCTCCCCAGCCCCCGCCATGTGTCTCATTCTCTCCCCAGCCTCCATGTGGCTCCCTGGCCTCTCCTTCCCCAGCCCCCGCCATGTGTCTCTATCTTCTCCCAGCCCCTCCATGTGTCTCTATTCCTCTCCCCCAGCCCTCCATGTGTCTTGCATTCTCCTCCCCTGTGCCCCCGCCATGTGTCTCTATTCTCTCCCCCAGCCCTCCATGTCTCTACTCCTCCTCCCCCAGCCTCTCCATGTGTCTCTATTCTCCTCCCCAGCTCCCTCCATGTGTTCTTACCTCCTCCCAAAACCTCTCCATGTGTTCCCATTCTCCTCCCCCAGCCCCTCCTGTGTCTCATACTCCTTCCCCAGCCGCCCCCTCCATGTGTCTTCTATTCTCCCCAGCCCCGCCATGTGTCTCATTCCTTCCTCCCCAGCTCCCTATGTGTCTCTATTCTCTTCCCCCCACCTCGCCATGTGTTCCCCCCAGCCCCGCCATGTGTCTCATTCTACCCCCGCTCAGCTCCTCTATATGTCATACCCCCTACTTCTCCATGTGTCTCATTCTACGCTCCAGCCGCTCCATGTGTCTCATCCACATATCTTTTCTTACATTCAGACTTTACACACATAAAAAAATTACCCTAAAAACTAAAGTTAACGCCAAACCAAAGAACAAAACAAACACGACTATGGGACTTGTAGGATAAAGCTGTCTGACTACAATATGTTTGAAATACACAATGAAATGTTAATCCCTTCTTTTCTTTTCCAGGGAGTCGCTGTCCATTGCATGCATGGGTTCGGAAGGACTGGCACTATGCTGGCGTGCTATCTGGTTAAAACTAGGAAGATTACTGGGGTCGATGCCATCAATGAGATTAGGAAGATCCGGCGAGGGTCTATAGAAACAACAGAACAGGAGAAATCCATTATACAGTTCCACCACCACATAAAATGATGGGGGGCGGGATTAACGAGGACTAGACAATGTTCCAGCTTCACAGGACTGAGTTAATCTGGACTTTCCACCCGCCGTTTGTTGTATTTTCATAAAACCATTATTTTCGTGAACTGAAGTAAAATGATTTTCGGGGCCAAATATTAAATTTGGATGGTCATCAACTCTGTTGGGTTTCCATAACTGCAAACATAATCTACTGTCTTGAGAAGATGTTTTGTGGTTATTTTTCATCTTCTTCGGGATCACTTCAGCATAAAAACAAAATTGTAATGGGGGCAATATGGCACTTGACTTATGTGGCGGTATACGTATCTCTACCTTAAAGGAAAACAGTCATCGTTTTTATTATTGTTTTAGTAGTTGTATTATTGTTTTGTGGTGTGGCCAACTCTAAATCCTCTTCAGTCAGAAGCACTATGTATTAGATAAAGGAATACTAAAGCCATCCATGCCACTTTATCTCAATTAAGTGGTCTGGGTGCAGTAGTCCTTTTAACCTTGCAAGGTAAGACATAGATTTGTAGAGACTGCAATGTGTATGTTGCAGTGTTAAACATACCTCTAGTCGCTAAGTAAAATCCACCTGTTAAACCCTAGCAGGGGGTGGTGGACACCAACACTTACATATAGTTAAACTATAGTGTTGGGAATACATATTTGTATCTCTAATGCTATAGCAGCAGTGGAACCACAGTGGTGCGACCAGGCCCTCTGCATTCTGCCTGTCACAGGGGCCCAGGAGCAGGGCGTTTAACCACCTTAGCACCCCCCATCCTGGAGGTGGGCAATTAGGCACTAAGCTAAAGCAGGCACCTGCTTAACTGGACAACACGTGCCTACTCTGCCGATATACAGTGTCTAGGAAGGAGAATGGGGGAGGCAGCGAGGGAGCACTGATGTGCCTGCTCTTCCTCACTGCTCCCTTGTTTGCTTTGCGGTGATGCCGGGATATGACCTGATTCTGGCACTAGCATCACTATACAGAGCGCAAGGGAACAGCATGAAGATTGAGGGCGCAAACCAGCTATCCAAAAGGTCGAAACACAAAATTCATTGGTGAGTGTGTGTGAGAGAATTTATGTGTGAGTGTGTAAGTATCAGTGAGTGTATGTCAAATCAGTGAGTGTGTGTGTGTTTGTTAGTGAATGTGTGTGTGCAGGAACTTTTAGCTACTCAGGCGAAGATGCATTTTGCCGCCCCCCCACACCTCCCCCTTAAAAAAAAATGCATCTTCACCTGTGTGTCTTGTTGTAACACCCCTCCCCCCCTTTGAATTTCTTACCCCTAATGTGCTCTAGTGTATTTTATTCCCCCTTTGTATATATCTTACTTCCCACCACATCCTTTGTGTGTCTCTTCCCTCCAGCCCCTTTCTGGGTCTCTTTCTTACCCCAGCCCCTTTCTGGGTCTCTTTCTTACCCCAGCCCCTATCTGGGTCTCTTTCTTACCCCAGCCCCTTTCTGGGTCTCTTTCTTAACCCAGCCCCTATCTGGGTCTCTTTCTTACCCCAGCCCCTTTCTGGGTCTCTTTCTTACCCCAGCCCCTTTCTGGGTCTCTTTCTTACCCCAGCCCCTTTCTGTGTCTCCTTCTTACCCCAGCCCCTTTCTATGTCTCTTTCTTACCCCAGCCCCTTTCTGGGTCTCTTTCTTACCCCAGCCCCTTTCTGGGTCTCTTTCTTACCCCAGCCCCTTTCTGGGTCTCTTTCTTACCCCAGCCCCTATCTGGGTCTCTTTCTTACCCCAGCCCCTCCGCCAGCCCCTTTCTGGGTCTCTTTCTTACCCCAGCCCCTATCTGGGTCTCTTTCTTACCCCAGCCCCTTTCTGGGTCGCTTTCTTACCCCAGCCCCTTTCTGGGTCGCTTTCTTACCCCAGGCCCTATCTGGGTCTCTTTCTTACCCCAGCCCCTTTCTTTGTCTCCTTCTCCACCACAGTCCCTCTGTGTGGCTCTTTTCCCCCTCAGTCTGTTTGTGTGTCCCTCCCCTCCACCTTTGTGTGTATTTTCTTCCAAGCCACAGGCACACAGACATAAAAGGCACACAATCAAAGTCATACATGTACACTGTCATACAATCACAGACATAATCATACAGAGACATATAGACACAGAGACATACAGTCAGAGACATACAGACACACTCACACAGAGACATACAGTCAGAGACATACAGACACACACACACAGACATACAGGCAGAGACATACATGCATACAGAGGCATACCATCATACAGACACATACATAGAGGCACCAACTGTGAATACACACACACACACTCTGCTTAATCCACACGCACACAGACTGCTGAATACACACATATTGCGTAATACGAACAGAGAATGCTAAATACATGTGCAGACTGCTGGATACACACACAAAAACTGCTGAATAGACACAGACTGTTGAATACATACACAGACTGCTGAATACGCACACACGCAGACTAATGCATACACATACAGACTGCTGAATACATACAGACTGCAGTGTCTGTGTGATGGATGTTGTGCGGAGTGTGAGTAGTGCAGTGTGTGTGTGAGGTGTGCATAGGGATAAGGGAGCACATGGATCTTTTATATTATTTTTATTTAAAACATAATAAACATTTATGTCCCCTCCACCCTTTTTTTAACCTTTCGCAAGGGAGGGTTGGACACTGCATGGCTTGGTGGTCTGGTGGTGAGTTGTGCCTTTCCTTCTCCCCAGAGATGAATGCTGTTTTGGGGTGTTGCCATGGTAACGCACAGTAATACTCCGACCTGCCTGCATGCCAGAGGAACAATCTGCCTCCCAACTCCTTCCCTCCCTCTCCCCTAACGAAGTGCCGTTGGACCGGTGAGGAGAATTTGATCTCCCTACTGGCCCAAGAAGTCACAGAGTAAGATCAGCTCTGCATGGGCCGGAAAGGTAGATTAAAGGATCTCCCCTCTCGGCCTTGGTGCCTAGTCATCAGGGTGGGGCCCAATGCTTGTGGGGCTCATGGGCAACTGCCTAGCTTGCCAATGCAGAAAGACGACCTTGGCCAAGACCGAAATAGTTAAACATTATAGTGTCAGGAATACATGTTAGTGATATAGAAAAGATAGTAGTTGCACAGAATAGCCGTCCAGTAGAGGCAGTAAAGAGCTGTGAAATAGTAGTAGATGCATGGAACAGTATTACAGTGGAAGTAGAAAAGGCTAATAGCGGGTAGTAAGTACTTGGAAACCTACCAGTGGAAGCAGGAAAATAACAGAATAATACTAATGATGTGCACACAGTATCCTGAAGAACAATTAAGGAATATGGAGATTTCCTACTGGGTGGAGGAGGTAGACCCAGGCTGGATTTACCATTCCATTCCTCCCAACATTGCAAATGGACAAAGATGGACTCTTTAAATGTAGGGGTGTGAGTGTGGGTGTGGGTTTTATGTACAGATTTTATGGGGTTTCGGAAAGTTACAGGGACAAATATAGGGATTGTAAATTTAATTCTAAATGTATTTATGTATTTTTTTAACACAATGTGTTTTTATTAATTATAATTCCTGACAACCCAGACAGTCACCCTGCAGGCCATCTATCAATCATGCTGATCCAAGTCATGTGATTGCGGTGTCGTTGAAATCACATGACTGTAGTTGGCGGGATTGGCTGTAGAGGGACTGGCTGCGTTGTCAGGCAGTCCCCCCAATCTGATGCGGCTAGCAGGGTAAGTATCCTGTCTGGAGAAGGTCCTATGCGTGCTATGCAGCCCTAACAGCTTTATTAATTATTATTATTGGTATTTATATTACGCCAACTAATTCCACAGTGCTTTACAGTATTATGAAAGGGAGGGAAATTTACAATAAATGAGACAATTACACAGTGACACAGGAACAATAGGTAATTGAGGGCAATGCTCAAACGAGCTTACAGTCTCTAGAGGAGGTGGGGTACAAATACACAACAGGGCAGCAAGGGTGACAGCCACCACACAAGGTGGAAAAGTAGCAGAGCTGGAGGTGAGAATGGAGTGTGGCTCTTTAGGAAGAGACAGATATGGATAGGTATAGATAAGTTACTCTGGGAGTCCATTAGCACTTTAAAGCCCTCATAGCACGCCTTAGCTTCAGGAAGTGGTTAAAGACACATTAAGACACATTACTGGGAGTATTATTTCTGTGGAGCTCTGTTATACACTCGGACACATTACTGGGAGTATTATTGCTGTGGAGCTCTGTTATACACTCGGACACATTACTGGGAGTATTATTGCTGTGGAGCTCTGTTATACACTCGGACACATCACTGGGAGTATTATTGCTGTGGAGCTCTGTTATACACTCGGACACATCACTGGGAGTATTATTGCTGTGGGGCTCTGTTATACACTCGGACACATCACTGGGAGTATTATTGCTGTGGAGCTCTGTTATACACTCACACACATCACTGGGAGTATTATTACTTTGGGGCTCTGTTATACACTCAGACACATTACTGGGAGTATTATTGCTGTGGAGCTATGTTATACACTCAGACACATTACTGGGAGTATTATTGCTGTGGAGCTCTGTTATACACTCAGACACATTACTGGGAGTATTATTGCTGTGGAGCTCTGTTATACACTCAGACACATTACTGGGAGTATTATTGCTGTGGAGCTCTGTTATACACTCAGACACATTACTGGGAGTATTATTGATGTGGAGCTCTGTTATACACTCAGACACATTACTGGGAGTGTTATTGCTGTGGAGCTGTTATACACTCAGACACATTACTGGGAGTATTATTGCTGTGGAGCTCTGTTATACACTCAGACACATTACTGGGAGTATTATTGCTGTGGAGCTCTGTTATACACTCAGACACATTACTGGGAGTATTATTGCTGTGGAGCTCTGTTATACACTCAGACACATTACCGGGAGTATTATTGCTGTGGAGCTGTTATACACTCAGACACATTACTGGGAGTATTATTGCTGTGGAGCGCTGTTATACACTCAGACAGATTACTGGGAGTATTATTGCTGTGGAGCTCTGTTATACACTCAGACACATTACTGGGAGTATTATTGCTGTGGAGCTCTGTTATACACTCAGACACATTACTGGGAGTATTATTGCTGGGAGCTCTGTTATACACTCAGACACATTACTGGGAGTATTATTGCTGTGGAGCTCTGTTATACACTCAGACACATTACTGGGAGTATTATTGCTGTGGAGCTCTGTTATACACTCAGACAACACATTACTGGGAGTATTATTGCTGTGGAGCTCTGTTATACACTCAGACAACACATTACTGGGAGTATTATTGCTGTGGAGCTCTGTTATACACTCAGACAACACATTACTGGGAGTATTATTGCTGTGGAGCTCTGTTATACACTCAGACACATTACTGGGAGTATTATTGCTGTGGAGCTCTGTTATACACTCAGACACATTACTGGGAGTATTATTGCTGTGGAGCTCTGTTATACACTCAGACACATTACTGGGAGTATTATTGCTGTGGAGCTCTGTTATACACTCAGACACATTACTGGGAGTATTATTGCTGTGGAGCTCTGTTATACACTCAGACACATTACTGGGAGTATTATTGCTGTGGAGCTCTGTTATACACTCAGACACATTACTGGGAGTATTATTGCTGTGGAGCTCTGTTATACACTCAGACACATTACTGGGAGTATTATTGCTGTGGAGCTCTGTTATACACTCAGACACATTACTGGGAGTATTATTGCAGTGGAGCTCTGTTATACACTCAGACACATTACTGGGAGTATTATTGCTGTGGAGCTCTGTTATACACTCAGACACATTACTGGGAGTATTATTGCCGTGGAGCGCTGTTATACACTCAGACACACCAATAATATGGAGCTCCTAACAAAGAGGGACTGAGGGATTTGTGCCCAAAATATGGACACCCCCTCCTAAATAGGAACACTTTTAAGGTATGCCATGTAGAAGAATATGCAGGTTGCTTCTGGGAAACTAATTTAATACAATTACAAATATAAATTTTTTCCTTTTTTTTTTAAATATCTTTTTTATTTTGCTATGCGATAATTGTATTTTTTGTATTTGTGGGGAGTAGGATGGAGGCTGGAAGCAGTTTCTACCAGTCTTATGTATACTCCAACTCCTGGTGCAAGCTCTATATTCAGGTGGAAGTACAATCACCTACAGGTTCCAGAGAAGTAAATTAGATTTTATCTGCTGGTAGAGTTTCTCTAAGTAATGAACACGGTCAGTAATCAAAGACCCCCCCCCTCAGGTATTCTTGTAGCTATGTATTCACTACACATCAGGTACCGTGTGTCCCTTGTCCAAGCTGGGATCCATAATGGGAGCCCATACACGTCTCCTATTGGCTGCAATTAAACATTCTAATCTACAATGCAGACATGTAGCTAGTGATTCTCTCAGCATTTAGCTTGGTATACAAGTGGTTAACGCATTTAACGAGACGCCGTATGTCTGAGATTTAGAGATCATTACCAACTGCCACTCAAATCTCTGAAATACACACAGATATAATTCTAACACAAAACACAAAATACGTTTTTTTTGTTGTTGTTGTTTTTCTTCTTTTCAGTAAAGTTTGGGGCTATCCCTTACTTTCAGTGATTTCAGCTTAATTTACTGTTTATATGAATTGTTTCCTTAGCGCTTATCCTACCTTTCGTACTAAATAGAATTCTAAGTAGGTGTTTTAGGAAATGTAAATAAAAATATAAACATAGAATAAGTAAAATGTGTTTGTATATATATATCTATAATTTTCTATATAAAATGTCCACTAGGCAAAATTTACCTTGGGTGAGTATGCTACATACTAACATACAACATTAATCTCTGCATTCAAACTCCCACTACTCCTGGGCTGCAGCAATGACTGACGTACACATCAGCCCCCATACAGACAATAAAAACCAAAGGAAAAAGTTACTTGCACACCATCCCAGATCCCTTTGCATATTTAAATAACTGGAGGTTTAGTATCACTCCAATGGCCATTAAATTGTAAGCTCATTTGCCACGTTAAGGCAAACCTCAAAGATTTCTCATACACTGACTACATATAAAAAAAGAAGCAGCCCTGTGCTAAAACTCCCACTACTCCTGGGCGCCAGCAATAACTATAGCATACATCAGCCCCAATACATACAACTAATGACTAACGAACAAGTAATTATGACAAGTTATGCATACAGGAACAGAAGGCGTAGAGGGCCATGCTCAAATTCTAGCGGAGCGTGATAAAATGTCACAAGGGGTACGATATTCTCAAACAGTATTTGGTATCAAACAAGATATCAAGTTTGGAGGGTTGATTCCAGGAGATTCTG